CAGGCTCTGGGCGGCTGCGCTGGGCTCGGTGGGCTGCACGCTCGGGAATGCCGGCAGCTTGCCTGCCCCGGCCGTTTTGCAGGGGCTGCTCTGGTTCAGGGGCAGCTGTCCTGCTGTGGAGATGCCGATGGAAAGCAGCGGGGTTTGATGGTACGGAGACCAGCCCAGAGGCAGAAGTTGAGGATTGGAAGGTTTTCCGTTGACAGGGCATCGCGGGTACACACTTCCCTGGACAGGATTCCAGGTGGCGATGTCCTTGGACTGACACAAAGGAGCTCCTGGAGCAACTCTACCGTGAAGAAGTCTCCTGGCAGGATCCTGCTGTCCTTCCGTGCCAACCTGGTTGGCTTTCTTCCCACAGGGAACGCCGGCACTGCGGGGCTCGCCCTGGTCAATGATGGAGATGGGCTCCTGCTTGGGCAGGTGGCGTGGGTCCCTGCTGAGGCTCACGCCCACATCCTTGCTGAGCAGCAGCGAGGCCGGCACCGGGTTGGCGACACCAACGTAAGTGCCGGGAATGGTGCTGATGAGCGTGGTGTTCTTCACCCAGGAGCCCTGCTCGCCGTTGCGCAGGACCTCGGGAAAGATGACCAGGGGTGGGGTGGTGCCGAGGCACGAGGTGACACTGCTGCCTGTGGCCTGTGCCGCACGCTGGGACTTGGAGAGGACGGTGGTGAGCAGCGCTTTGCCGCTGGTGTGCACGGGGGTGAGGATGGGCATGGGAGGGGTCTTCCGCTGGCTGGGTGGAGGCAGTTTCTGGCGGTTGGACTTGGAGGAGAGATCAAGAGGCATCTCACTGCACTCCGGGGATGAGACCATCTCACGCTCTAGCTGGGGTGGGGACTTCAGAGGAGACAGGGAAGTGGCAGCCCCCGGTGCATGTGGCTCAGCAGCTGCCGGAGCTCTGGCTTGCACAGCCGTGCCAGAGGAGGGAGCAGCGCTCCCACCTGGTGCTGGTGCTGCCGGCAGAGCCTGGCTGGAGGGCAGGGCCAGGCCGCAGCTGGACAGGGAAGTGCTCTCAGCAGCAGCCTGGGCACTACTTCCACCTGAGGGTGGGGGACAGCTGAGCTGATTCACCTCCACAGACACCACTTTGGCATCTGAAGCCAAGGGCCTGGTGACAGAGAAGGTGTAGGGGTAGGAACGCAGCTCTGGGGAAGCGATAATGCCTGGTAGGCAACGCTCGTGCAGGTAGGAAGGCAGGACAGGGAAGGTGAGTGTGGAGGAGACCCCCAGAGTGGCTGGGAGCGTGGCCACGCTGAGCGGCTGCCCGCAGCTGGGAGGGGGGATGTACACCAGCGACTGGCTTGGGCTCAGCACAGCCCCAGCCTGAAAGGGCAGGGGCAGCTTTTGCATAGCAGGGGCCTGAGAGGGGGGAAAGCAAACCCTGTTCAATGTGAAGGTGGCGGGACTAGAGGCAGAGGTGTTGCAGCTGGAGACAACCACAGACAATGTCCCTTCTGCCAGCACACCTGGCCCTTGTGCTGCAGTGCTTGGGGGGGTTTTCTCCTTCCCAGCAGGCTCACTTTCTGGAGCCACGGAGCAGGCTGGGGCAGCATCAGCCTGCTTGTCGCTGGGAGGATCTGCTGGTGTCCAGGCAGCATCAGCACCACTGCTCTCCTGCTCCACAGCTCTGGGGACCGCTGGCTCCTGCCCTCTGCCATCCCCCTGACCTGCCAGAGGGCCCAGGGCGTCATCTGTCACAGTCTTTTCCACACACTCCAGGTTTGGGTTGCAATCAGGTGGCTGCTCCTCCAGTTTGGGTCTAAGCTTTTCCTCCACCTTGCCATCAGCATCCAGCCCCTGGGCACTGCTGCCACCACCGCTGACTGCTGTGAGCTCCACCTGCAGCAAAAAGGGAGAAGGTGTTCCTGGGAGCTTTGCAAGGGCCACCCAGGGAAGCAGGAAGGATCTGCCCACCCCAGACACAGAGGAAAAAGCAGCAAACAGCTCTGCCCAAAGGAGAGCATGGCTTTGCCTCACTGCATATCTCTCAAAAAGAAGCCAATGAATCCACTCGGGAAAATGCTCCTGCTTGGCCTATTCCGCCAGGGAATGGCCTTTTTGGACTCAGCTGAGCAGGCAAAGAACTCACCTCGGAAAGGCTGCTGCTGACACAAAACTCTTGAGACCCCAAGTGCTGGGAGCTGCTCGTTTTTGACTCCTCATCAGAAATGGGGGTTCTCCTAGGTGCAGAAGAAGACACAGCATTACGAAACCCCAAAATACCCTCCCAGAATCCCACCCCTCCCTGTCCCCATGTGGGACAGTGGAGCAGCTGTACACCTTCCTTACCTATGGCCACCCAGCCTCATCATGGGCCAGCTCAGTCTTCCCCAGTGTCACAGGCTGGTGCCACACACCTATTCCTGTCCCCTCCATTTCCCATTCTGTCCCACCACACCTTTCCATCCTCCCCTGAGTCTCATCCTGCTTGTCTTTCCCCCAACAGGCACCTGCTCATTCCCATTCCTTCTGTTTCCTCCCTGTCCTGGGATCCCCAGCCCAGCCTAGCTGCCAGTGGGGACCTCCCTCTGGTGCCAAAGCTCTTTGGGCTCAGAAAGCCTGGACAGGAGCAGTGGGCATTCATGGTCACCCCAATGTGCCATGTCTTGCTGGCCAGTGTGTCTGAACCTTTCATCTCTGGAATGTGATTCCTCAGTGGAAACAAATTCCTTGTCCTGGAAAGGACAAGGACAAGGACTGTCACCTCTTTGGGACACTCCTTCCCTGGTGGTATTCACCAAGACAGCACTTCCCCAGTGTTTTGCTTGGGACAAGCTGCTAGTGCCAGCACAAAACAGATCAAGTTTGGATTCTGTTGATGATATAATTTCAGCCAGATTTGCTTCCTATATCCTGTGCTTTCACAGTAATCACAGACACAGAGCTGTGGGTACACAATTTGTCTTTAGACTCAGTACCCACAGTGCTGGGGCACCAGGACCTCATTCTGGGCTGCCTCAGCCCTAGGACTCGGCTGGGTATCCCCAGTGCCAGGAACATTCTCTGTACCCTTTGCAGCAGGACCGTGCTCGGTTCCCCCAGTGCCAGGAACATTCTCTGTACCCTTTGCAGCAGGACCCTGCTCGGTTCCCCCAGTGCCAGAAACCTGCTCTACATGCTCAGCCCCAGGACGCTGCTCTGTACCCCTACTGCTGGGATCCTGCTTGGGGCTATTTGTGTGCCATCCCCACCAGCCTTCGGGTCAGTGGCAGCCCGGTTGGTCCCTCCAGGGACTCCCGCGTTCTCGGGGCTCCCCGGCCCGGCCGTCACAAGCCGCGGGGCGGGGACGGCAGCCGGGGCCAAGCCGCCTCAGCCGGCGGAGGGGCCGGAGCGGGCGGGGTGCCGGAGCGGGCCGAGGGGCCGGAGCGGGCCGAGGGGCCAGAGCGGGCTGAGGGGCCGGAGCGGGCTGAGAGACCGGAGCGGGCCGAGGGGCCGGAGCGGGTGCGGCTGAGCGAGCCGAGGGACCGGAGCGGGCTGAGGGACCAGAGCGGGCCGAGGGGCCGGAGCGGGCCGAGGGACCGGAGCGGGCCGAGGGGCCGGAGCGGGCCGAGGGACCGGAGCGGGCAGGGGGGCCGGAGCGGGCCGAGGGACCGGAGCGGGCCGAGGGGCCGGAGCGGGCCGAGGGGCCGGAGCGGGCCGAGGGACCGGAGCGGGCTGAGGGACCGGAGCGGGCTGAGGGGCCGGAGCGGGCTGAGGGACCGGAGCGGGCGCGGCTGAGCGGGCCGAGGGGCCAGAGCGGGCTGAGGGACCGGAGCGGGCGGGGTGCCGGGGCCGCGGCCGAGCGCAAGGGGGAGCCCGAGCGCAGCCGCCCGGCCCCGCGGGGCCCGCCCGAGCGCGGCGCTCCCGGCGCTTCCCGGAGATTCGCGGCGCTTCCCGGTCCGAAGCTCGCCCGCCGCTCCCCGCACAGCCGGCGGGACCCCCCTGCCCAGCCCTGAGGGCCGTGCGTGGTCTCCCTGTCGGGGCTCCTCCCCGGGCAGTGCGCGATGCCCCCGCACAGACGGGGCCCGAGGAATGAGATGAAGATCGGGGACGAGAGAGCGCCCGGGCGCAGCCCCCCGGCCTGCCCAAACAGCTCAACATTTGACGCCCATTGTAAGCTCGGAGCAGCGCCGAGAGGCTCGGCGGGTATCGCCATCGCAGCCCTTATCTGCGGGACACAGAGCGCCCGGCGGTGCTGCGGGCGGCAGATCGGCTCTGCCCGAGCCAGACCCGGGGCTCGTCCCTGCCCACTGCTGCTGCACCGGCCCGAGGGACGCCCGCCAGAACCCTCGGCACCCGCGGCCAGCAGTGACAGCCACACGCTGCCTCTGTGCACATTAAACTTCCCTGGCTTTGGGAAATACATGGAACAGACACGGTGGTCTTGAGGAAACCACAGACTAGTCCGTTCTGAGAATAAGACCCCAAACCACGGGAATGAACGGGCGATGCAAAGCGACAGAGCTTGGCTTGATCGATCCTACCTCCCAGCCACTAATCCTCCCTAATCTCCTGTTTGGTGGCAAGTCACAACCCTCCCATCTGATCATCTGGTTAGCACAAACCCTCCTGGGTCACCAAAAGCTTTTAGTTCAAGCTCTTTCCCTTCCTTGGTCATTGAGAGCACAGGTCTGTTGAAACCAATAGCACATGCAGACAAGTTGGCCGTGTCGGCATCAAAGCTGCAGAGGTAACATAACCACACATGGGCAACAGATCCTCTGCCACTCCTCCAGCACACTCCTCGCTGAAGCAGGGGATGTGGGGACCCTCCTGGAATGCCAACATATCCAATACATCCAAATGTGGCTCATTTGCACTTTGGGCCATTTTAGACCCCAGTGAAAAGGGGTTGAGTCAGCACCAGCTCCCTAAGTGGCTCTCTCATGCCTCCTTTCCCCTGGCCGCCACCCACGCACCTCACCTCTCCTCGTTGAGGCCACACATGCGAATCCGCTCTGTGCTGGTCCAGTTGTGCACCCCGCTGTAGAGAGGTGCTGTAGAGATCATGACAGCTACTCCTCACCCTCCAGGATCTGCTGGGGCTCCAGGGACCACTCTGCCTGCAAAAGGGAAACAGAAGGTTGGGAACTCTCCTCGGGATAATTGATTCAACTGCCCTTTGAGAAAACTCATCCCCAGCTTTGCTGCCAGGCAGATGGAGAACAATGCCCCGGGATGCCGCAGGTCTGGAAGAGAGCGAGGAGGAATCAGCAGTGCCTTTGGACAGAAACCACCCTCCACTCATCCTCTCATTAAACAGTGTTACTGCCACTGGCTACCACGAGAGTTTCACACAAGTATCTTCACACACACATCCTTTGAAACAATCCCACACTTTTCTTCTCCCTCCAGAGGAACCTCCAGCACTAGAAGATGCCAAGAAGGTGATGGTCATTTTCAGCACTGAAACTTCAAGGCTGCACAAGACTCTCCTAAAGCAGCCCATGGCAGGTCCTAGGGGCAAAGGCTCAAACAAGGAGGGTCTCTCCACAACTGAAGGCTCCTGCAGGGAGCAGAGGTTTGCCAGTGGTGCTGCCAAGGGTTTATCCCCTCCTTCTATGAGGAAGGTGCTGGTTTTCTTTGGAGTTATGGGTGGAAAACATGAGGGAATCCAGAGATTCAGGAGCATCCATGAGGCACCGTCGGCTGGGTGGAGCTTTCAGGGGAGAGCGTTGCAGCCAATCGTGCAGCGCTGGGTGTTGGAGCATTGAGAAGCTCTGCTGCTCCAGGGAAAAGGCAGAGGAGGAAGAGAGGATCTCCTGTGCTAACAAGTGGACTCAGCCAAACCAAGCAGGATTGACTGCAAAAGGGAGAGAGATGCTGTCAAGGAGGTTGAGGGAAATACTAAACCCTGAAGGTAAAGCAGGCACAGAGCCACGGCAACGCTCCCGGTGCAGCGGTGGGAGTGGGAATTAGCTGGAAGCAGCACGTGATTCCCAATCTCTGTCGCTTGTCTTTTGCCTGACAAACTCCTGGCGACACCAGCTCCGCACGGGACAAGCAGCGTCTTGTGCCATGAAAGGAGCCACACAGGGACCCGCCAGCCGCAGCTCAAGGGACGAGCCACAGGGCTGAGCGGCTCCTCCGAGCACAGCTGCTGCCGGGTGTCCCCGCTGCAGCCTGGACGTGCCGGTGGGGATCCGAGGAGGAGCAGGAAAAGGGGCCAGGCACACGGTAGGAACGGGGGCAAGGCAGCTGGTGTGCCAAAGAGAAACCGACGGACCCATCTGCACGTACGAGGGCACAAGTGCGCAAACAGTGCACGGAAATCAGAGGTCAGGGGAAGAGGGAAACCTGCTAAAAACACACACTGTGAGATGGGAGAAAGCCTCAGCAGCGATGGGGGAGACGGGCAGACGCCAAGGCAGAGAGCAGGTCATACCCAAAGAGACCGAGGTGGCTTGGAGCAGGAAGGGGAGGAGTCTTTCGATGCTTGGAGAGAAATGCAACATAAAGGAAATAGGGGAACAAACAATCTGCGGGGATTTCACCATCTTAGGCTAAACTGAAAGAAGGGGAGGAGGAACGTTCTGCCCCCAAGCACAGCAGCAGTACAGATGTTCCAGGAGGAATCAAAAGGGACCTTCTGTGCAACGGGGGAAGGGGATGCATGCGGCTGCACGACGTGAAGCTGGGGACAAGCAGAGATCAGGCGTGACCCCGGAATAGGTCTGGCAAGGGAGGAGTGATAACGGGGTGCTATGGGGAGCTGGAAGAAACAGCACGTTTGGAGCGCTCAAGTAAGAGCGGCTCAGAAGGGCCGGAACGACGGCCACAAGAGGAGAGCTGGGAGGACACAGTGACAGAGATCAACACTGTTTCGTGGATTCTTGGCCTCTATCCTCTACAGACGAAGTGGGACACATGCCAAAGACAGGCATTTCACAGGGAACGAAGAACAGAAAAGAAAAAATAATTCAGATATGAACTCAGAGAAGGAATAAAACAGGGGACAAGCACCAGACATGGGTTCAAGCAGAAAGCAGCGGAGCAACAGCATTCTTAAAAAGGCAGACCAGGAAGTTTATTGGGAAATGCAGGGATGAGCAGCGTCCCGATGCAACACTGAACCACAGAGAGCAACTGCAGCCTCCCTGGGTCAGAGCACTCTTAGCCGAGTCGGCACAAGGAAAGCGAGCAGATCTCCCATCTACACTGGTGCAGTTGGAAGCAACATTAAAGGGATGTAATTAAACTCATAGGAAACCCTTGGAGAACACAACTAGGGCATGGCTTCACATGCCTGTCTTCGAGCAGAAGAAGCTGTTGAGAAACTGCTGAAGCCCTTCTCTCCCCTCACCCCTTCAGTCATGTCACTGAAACCCTGCAGTATCCCAGCAAACCTGACCAGGGCATTGATCTCTGTTTAAAACACTTTTTTTCTTTTTTTTTCTTTTTTTTTTTTCTCCTGGCTGGACTGGTTTTAACCCATACCAGCTCCTAGATCAGCTTCACCAAGAGGGAGAGAGGGCAGAGCCTGGCACAGACTCTACTTAATCCACAACGTCTGCCAAAGGAAGTGTATACGAAACCACAGTCTTATTTTGATTTAGCTAAATAGGTGCTCAGCCAATTCTAATTAACGCCAAAGAAAACGAGTTTAGAATGAAGTAAGAACATTGAGGCATTCTGCGTGGGGAAGCTCATACGGTATTAAAGCTCCTTCACCTTCCGAAACAAAGCGTGTCCTAAGAACTGTGAGCAAGGAAGGTGCTGAACACGCTCGCCTCCAATGACAAACCCTCTGAGAGGTTTGCAACGAAGTTACTATGGCGAATTAAAAGAAAAGGGGATTTTGTTCATTAAGGCAATACATCTCATCGTTTCGCAAAAGGAAACGATGCTGCTCCACAAACCCGCCTCTTCCAGGCTCTAGGAAAAGCAAAGCAGATGTTTTCCTTGCAGTGAAAGTGTGCTTTTACTCAGGTTAGTGACGACTTGGCTACCCATGGAAGCTCCCTTGGATTAGGTGAAGAAATTACTCTTCTGAAATAATGCTAAATAATAAAACAAGTTTCCAGAGATGAAGTTCTTCAGGAATGGACATTTTTAAACCATTATCTATTGACAAGTTCTCCTTGCAATGAAAGCCCAACAGCACCAAGACAACCATCATTTCAGGGCAGGCTGAGCAAAGGTTCCAGGACAAGCTCCACAAGCATTCACCTATCAGCTTCCACTGCTGACAAGAATTAAGCTCATGCCATCTCCATGCTGACCCCTGTTAAACCCTGTCTCTTCCCTGGCTCTTGGGGACCCCAACTTGAGTTGCCTGAAGTGAGGCTGCCTAATTGTTTCCCACAGCCCCTGACAGTCACACCCCCCACCCAGTGTTAATGCAGCGAAGGACTTGCAAAGTAGATTCTGAAGCCATCCCATTGCAAGCCACCCTCCTCTCCCAGTGACCGCAATCCCTTGGCCCGATCAGGTCCCCGACCTGACAACTCTCAGCTCCTCAAGTACTTGCACTGGCAAACACATAAAGCAACTTCTCGGGCTGGCACCAACCAGCCAGTCATGGATAGCCAAGGGTTTGCTTCTCACTGGGGAATGTGGTGCTGTTGGTGTTTGCCCTCACAGTGCCACCGGGTCTAACTCACTTTGCTCAGATTACCCAGAGCCATGACCTCCTACAGCATCCACCTTATGGCACCTGTGGTGGACTCAGGCCTACCAATGTGGGAAGGGGGTTTTTCCCTGCTCCTCCCAGAGACAGCCTGTGCCAGTCACTTCTGCACAGTGCAAACACATCCCTCAGTGAGACCGTGCTGCCTTGATCCCCCACAAAAGGCTTTCCACTGTTTTCCTGCTCTGTGCATTTACCAGTACTGAAATCACTTGGATTTCAAGGCACTTACTCTTCCTCTCCTCCATGCCCACCCCAGCACATGAGCTACACACCAAGAGATGGACAGTGTCCCGCTGCACCCTGCCTAGGCAGGTGGGAGCTGACAGGTACTGAAACACCTGCAGCCCCTCCAGCACAAGGATTCCCCTCTGCCTGCTCTGGCAGGCACATCATTCCCAACATAGGTGGGAGAGCACCGAGCAAAGACCCAACTGGCAGCAGCCTGCTCCACTGCTGGCAATGGGAGCTCAGACCATGGCACCAGTGCATCCAGGGAGCACATCAGCCTTGCCTTTCCCCTGCATGTGTAGCAGCATGAGCTGACTCCAGGAATCCCAGTGTGGGTCACTTGGTGCAGCTCAGCTGCTCCAGAGCCTCTATGGACACAGTAAATGCTGCCCAGTCAGTGGTGCCTCCATCCATGCTGGCATTGAGTGGGCCAGCAGCACAGAGGAAGGAAAAAGACTTCCCAGCCCTAAGGGAAGGCTACCACATCTCTCGGCAGCAGGAGATGGGAAGGATGCTCTGGTTGCCCTCCCACAGCACCGTGTGGCTCCTGTGGCCAGGGGACACTGCGGAAGGCCGGGAGCAATGCACTTTGACCCTGGAAACACACCCACGGGAGACACCTTTGAAACATTCATTCCCAGAGCAGCAAATCCTGCAAGGAAGGGGGTTTTATCCCCTGGATGGCTACAAAATATAAAGCGAGGTCAGCTGTGGGAAACCCAGGTGGGATTCAGCGCTCAGAGCACAGCTGGCCGCTTTGACAAGAGCGGGAGCAGCGGAATGCAGTGCAATGTGCCCTGCAGCTCTTCCTGGGGGTCAGCTGGCCAGAAGGGAATGGTCTGCAGCGACAGGCAGGCCTCCTTCCCTTGTCATAGTTTGTTCACTTTGGCAATTCTTTGTTGCCATTAGTAACGCAAGCAAGGAATTCTATGTGTTCTGATATGGGATGGTCTGCTGTCCATCAGAGGTGCAGAGGGCCAGAGTGACCCCCCAGCACCTCAGCACCGAGCACCGCTTTGGAAAACCTGGTGGAGTAAACTGATGGCAAAAAATTTAAAATTAAATCAAAAATCAAGTCAAAAAACCTATAACGGCCCTATCACAGGACTCACAGTGAGCACGATATGCAATGAGGGAAAAATTTAAACAAGAAAACTAAAAAAAAAGAGAACAGACTATTTTCTGTTATGTTACCACTCATGCAGAGGTCAGAAACTGTAGGAGAATGGACCAGCAATGACTAAAGTGGCACAAAATCCAGCAAGGATGGGCCAGGCCGCCTCTGGGGCTGTCTGGGCAGAGCGGTGCCCGGCGAGGGCAGCCCCGAGCCGGGTTTGGTCCCCGCTGCCTGCACAGCCGCCCCGGCCGCTGCAGAGCTGAGCCAGGCTTTGCCTACACGCATTTGCTTAAGCTGATTTAAAGACACAGTAACACCACACGTAATTATAGATCCTCGGCACGATGAATTGGAAATAAAAAAGAAAAAATCCATCCCTATTTCAGGAAAAAAATAAAAGTTTGCTGCACACTGGGCAGTGCTGTGATAATTGGTCCCAGCTGCTGGACAACTGGTGTCACTGAACCCTGGCTTGTCTGCAACAACCAGGCTGCCCCCACCAAAGCCCACAAATTTTTAAGGACTGAAAAAGAGCCATTAAGGGATGATAATATTCACAAATGTATCTGACAAGGCGCACATCATCCAAAACCCCAAAAGCAGAGTGCAGCCTCCCATGCCTGGGAGCCAGACTGGTGCTCCAGAGCCCAGAGGTCCCAAAGGCAGCTCTGAAGGCCAAACCCCGCTGGAGCCTGGGCTCTGACACCTGGAATGCACCTCCAGACCCAGGTGACAGCAACGCAGCCGGTGTCCTCGACTGGCGCCATGGAGCCTCCAGCCAGCGCTAGCACTGGGACCACCTAAACCCGAAGGGTGGCCAGGGCAATGGAAGCAGCGCAGCGGAAAGGGGAGGGAAGGAAGGCAAGAGAAGGCAGGGAAGGGAAGGCTGCTACAGACAGGGCCAAAAAGATGCAGAGGAGCTGCGAAGGGCACGGGATGCACCGGCCCTGCCCTAGCACTCATCCCCAGACTCCAGGGGATGAGGGTGCCAGAGAGCGGATGCTCTGTGACAGGAGAAACTCACTTCGTCTCTATTTTAGCCTGACACACCTTCTCCCGGTGCTGCTCTGAACCGGCCTCACCCAGGCGGGGATGAGGGGACCGATGTCGCTCGCCGAGGAGCCAGGACCCCTCCCGGTACCGGCACGCTACCGCGGGAGGGCTGGTTTCCTCCCCGGTGAGGGCGGCAGGAAGCGCCGCCTCCCTCGCCCGGTCCTGCCGCTGCCCGGCCATCACCGTGGGCACGGGCGGGGGACCGGCCGCCCCCGCCGCCCCGCCCCGGGCGTCGGGGGGCGTCGGCTCGGAGCGGCACCGCCCCGGCCCCGGCCGCAGCCCGCCCCGGGTCCGGGTCCGCGGGGGTTCCCCGGCGAGCCCCCCGCCCGAGGCGCGGCACGTCCCGCCCCGAGCCCCGCGAGGCCACGGCACGGCCCACGGCCCCGCGCCGCCGCCGGGGCCCCGCGGGGCGGGCAGCCCCCCCCTGCCCGGGACGCGGCGGCCTCGCTGCCGCTCCGGGGGCTTCGCCCCGCACCCCGCAGCCTTGCCGAGGGCTAGGCCCCGCCGTGCTGCCCCGCGCCCGCTCCCGCAGCCCCCGGCTCAACAGTTGCCCCCGGGGCCGCTCCCCGGCGGAGCGTCCCGCAGCCCCGGCAGCTGCGGCCGGGCCCCCGCGCTGCCGCACCGGGGCAGCCCCGGACACGGAGGTGGCGGCGACCGCGCTGCCCCCGGGGAGGGCTCTTCCGCCACCGCCCGGCACCCGGCCGGCCGGCACCCGCAGCCGAACCGGCCCCGGGCACGGCGGCGGCCGGGGCGGGCTCGGGCCACGCCGCCAAACTCCGCGAGCGCCCGGCGCCGCCGTCCCACCGCCGCCCCGGGAGCGCCGCGCCGCGCGGCCGCCCCGCCCCGCCGCGGGACCCCCCGCACCGCCCCGGCAGCGGCAGGTGCCGCCGGTGCCGGAGCCGGAGCAGCCGTGCCGGGCAGGGCAGCGGCTCCGCCGCGCCGTCGCGGGGCGGGGAGCGGAGCCGTCGCCGCCGCCCGCTGCCCCCCGCCCGGCGCTGTCAGTGCCCGCCGCGCCCCCGCCGCTGTCCCGCCGCAGGACGTCGCCGGTCCCCCCCAGCCCGCACACCCCCCCCCCGCGCCGCCCCACCGCCGCCCCCGGGGGTGTCCCGGGACCGTTTCCATGGAGATCCCGTCCGGACGGCCGGGAGGGGGGTCGGGCCACCCGCTTCCCCCCCGCCTGCCCCCGTGTGCCGTGGGTGCGGGGCGGCGCGGGCCCGGGGTGCCCGGGCAGCGGGGGCCGGGGTCCAGCGCGGGGCGGCGCGGGGCGGTGGGTACGCACCTGCTTCCCGAGGCGGGCGGGCGGCGGGGGGCGGCGGGCCGGGGCGGGCCCCTGCCCCAGGCGGCGGGTCGGACCCCGGGCGCTGCGAGCGGCGGTTCGGCGGCAGCGGCGGCGGCGGAGGAGACACTGGCAGCGGCAGCCGGAGTGTGAGGGCGAGAGCGAGCCGCGGCCGCGCGGGCTGCCGGGAGCCGTAGTCCGTCCGCCGGGGCCGGGAGCCGCCGAGCCGCCCCGCGGACTGCGGGTCCCGGCGTGCCGCGCGCCCCGGCCCGCGCGGGGGGGCCGGTCCGGAGAGGGAACGGGCGGGCGCGGGGAGGGAACGAGGGAGGGAGCGCGGGGAGAGAGGGAGGGGGCTCCGCGCCCGGCGCGGCCCCGGGAGGGGCGGGGGTCGGGAGGCCGCCGCGCCCGGGGTTCGGCACCGCACGGAGCGGAGTGGCTCGGCACGGGGGGAGCCCAACGCACACACGCCCCGCACACACACACACGCCCGCCCGACCCCGCGCCGGGGCACCGGCTCCCGCACCGGGGAGCGACGCTCGCTCCGCACCGGGGGGGAGGAGAAGGATGGAGGAGGAGGCGGCAGCGGGGGCGGGCGCTCGCTCCACGCCCGGGCAGCGCCGGGCGCCCGACAGCGGGCAGAGCCGGACGGGCAGCGCACGGCGAGCGCGGCGCACGCAGCCCCGTTGCCCGCAGTCCCGATGTCCCCAGCCCTAGAGTCTTCAGCCCCAGTCCCCGACGCCCCGCTGCCCCTCGCCCCGTTGCCCTCCGCCCGGTACCCCTCGCCCGGTGCCCACCGCCGGGCGCGGCCGCGGCAGGGTGGGTGTACCCGGCCGCAGCGGGGCCGGCCGGCTGAGAGAACGCGGACCCGCCTGCCCAGCCCAGGTGGGCGTGTGGCCCCCGCCCCGGCGACGCTGCCGCTGGGTGACCCCCCGGGCCCGCTCCCCCCTCCGGCTCGATGCCCCGCGGGGCGCGCAGCGCTGCGGGGCGGGGGTCGAGGCGCCTCCCCCGCGCCATGCGGGACATCGAGCGGCACGGCACGGCGCGGCGGCCGCAAGTTTGTCACCGGTCCCCGCCCGCGGCACTGGGGCCCGCAGGCCCGGAGGCCGCCGCACCCCCCGTGGTGCCCGGCCAGGCCCGCTCCGCACCGTCCCGCACCGCCCCGGCGCTGACAGCCTCGCCCGGCCCGGGGCCGCGCCGCCCCCGGCACCCGCACGGGCCTCGGAGACCGGCGGCCTCGCAGCGCCCTGGCGCGGCCCCGCCGTGCGGGCACCGGCTGCCCGGCCCGGCCCGGCCCTGCCCGGCCACGCCGCCCGGGCTGTGCCGGGCCCCGCGCAGCACCGCCCCGTGCCCGCTCCTCTCCCGCGGCCCCTCGCCCTGGCCTCGCCGCCCCCCTCTGCCCGGCCCCCGCGTACCGGCAGCCGGGGGGGGCCGCGGGGGTCCCTGCTCCTGCACGACCCGGCGGGGAGGGCGGGACCCGCCCCCCCGGCCCGCGGCGCGGGGGCTGCACGGGGACGGGCAGGACCGGCTGGTCCCGGGGCGGGGAGCGCGATGCCGCCCCGGCCTCCGCCGTCCCTGCGCGGTGGCACCGCGCTCCGGCGTGGAGCGGCCCCGGGGGCGGGCAGGGGCCGGTGGCTCCCCGGGGCCGGGCCCCGCAGGGCTGCGGGGTGGGCTCGGAATGGGGCGGTGCTGCGGTGACCGCGGCCCGCGATCCTGCGTGGGGGCCGAGGGGGGCTGGACGTTGTCACCGTCCCGCACCCGTGGCGTGTTGCTCGGACCCCGGTGGGCTCCGTTGCTGATCTCCGTGGGGTCCGTGCTGCCCTGGCCCCTGCGGGACCCTTTTACTCCCGCAGTTTTGTCCATCCGATGGCGAAGTCTCTTCTTCGGCCGGGGCCTCCAGGAGGTGGGCATGGGCTCCAAGGTGTGGCCCCCCCGAGATGGCACATCTGGGTTGGCAGCTACACCCTGGTGTCACCTGCCGGGAGAATCCTCTGCAGCCTCAGCCCCAAACCTTTTCCGTGCCTAAGGAGAGGAAAAAACATCTTACACAGAGATTGAGCTTTATTTTTTGCAGAAAAGGCCACAGCAGCCTGGGGCAGGAGATGGCCTGTCCCCCTTCTGGGGCTGCGGGGGCTTGAAGAGCAGTTTGGGGCAGGGGTGTGTGGGCAGAAGTGTGCTGAGCTTGTGGGGCATGAAATTCGGGAATTGTAGGCAGCACTGTGAGGGGTGGCAGGGTGAAACCTGGGGCTGCCAGGACCGTGGGAAGGCAGAGAGCCAGGGCTCCACCGAGGAAGGCCATGAGGGAGGAAGCTCTTCCTGCAGAGGGGAATTACTCCACTTCTCCACATTATATTGAATCTTTCCTCACTGTTGCCTCCAGCTAATCTGTGGGTAAAAGAGGTTCTCCAAGAGGCATTTCAGGCTAGATGATGGTCAGAAATCCAGGCTGGCACAGCCTGAGACAGGCACATGACCCCAGGTTCATAAAGACCTGCCTTATTTGCATCCTGGTGCAATTAAAAAAAGACAGTTTGAGTAACAGCCTCATCGTGCAGCTGCCTCACCCTATCCCTGCAGGAATCACACCCAGGGTTGCATGGTGCTGCCTGGGAGAGCTCTGCATCCCACCGTCGCATCCTCTGACACGCCACTGCTCCTGGCCCATTTCATTAGAACCTTTAAAATCTTCAGGATGGGATGATTTGCACCAAAGGACTTTAAAAGGTGGTGGTGAAAAATTCTGTGTCTCTCATGTTCCAGGGAAATGGAAAAGTCTGGTGAATAAGGGGCATTCTCCATCAGGGAGCGGAGCTAATCAGGCACCAGTCATGGACTAACTAGAAGAAATGCCAATGGGAATGATCTGTTGCAGCAAAAATATGATAAAGAGCCCTCATCAATAATTCCTCAAGGGAATCAAGCCGGGCCTGGTGCTGCAGGGGGAGCTGGGGGCTCCTTTACCTCCCCTCCATCCTGGGGACACATCCCCCAGGACGCCCAGCTGTGAGCAGCCCCAGCTGCTGCCTCACCTCAGCATTTCCTCCTCACCACCTCCCTGGGCAGCAGGACTTCTGCCAAGCTCCACAGGTCCGTGGGCACCCATGAACCCTCCAAGTGCTCAGGGCAGCCCCCGGCATGTGTGTCCCCTGCCTGCTCTGGTCCCCTGCTACACCAGGGCCTGAGCACTCAGCTCTGACCCGGCCTGCAGTACTGTTGCTGCTGCTTTTGTCATTACTGCTTCATTTTGTGTCCTTTTAAAAATTTATTTATCCTCTCCCCACTGTTTTTTGGGTAGAACCTACATCATTGCCACCTCCCTGACCAGAAACCAGAACATGCTGGCTAACACAACCAGCTGGGCATGGCACACTCTGCTCCTGCCAGGCTGCTGTGGGCAGACCCTGACCCTTCTGGGAATCACGTTAGTGCCAGCCATGGTCGAGCAGTCGGGCTGGCAGGCGTCTCTGGATGAGCTGGGATCATGGAGCCTTCTCCTCTGCCAGGGCAGTGGCAGCTGGTGGCAGCAAAGGTGGCTTTTAGCTCTTGGCACCAGAAGAAGAGGAATGAGGTGATGCCTCGTGCTCCATGTCACCTCCATGTGCAGGGCTGCTTCTGCCCTGGACGCCTCAGCTTCCACTGGGAAGGTGGGGATGTGGCTGCAGAGCCAGGGGACGGGTGTCCCATTGGGAGGAACAGTGTGTCCATTTCTGTGGGGTCTGGGGATTTCTTGCTGAGTTTCTTGGGACTCTTCTGAAGAAGGATCCTCCATGCTGCTCTCTCTGAGGTGGGCAGAGCTCACCTGGGTTTGGCTGGTGCAGTGACACTGTGGCAAGTCGCCACCTCTACCTGCAGCCCTCATCCTCCCACATTCCATGGGCTGTCCCACTCCGACGACAAACACTGGTACCATGGGTGGTGGTGCAGATAGAAGGGGACGGTGGCAGAGTGGCTGCCTTGTCCTCCCTGCTGGCAGCTGGGGACAGGGAATGATGGGCAGGGAGGCCACAAGCGCTGCAGGGCACATGACAGGCCAGGCTGCTGCCTTCTGTCCTGCTGTGCAGCCCCTCTTCCCCCCGCTCCCCAGGGGACATGGTGCTCAGGAGGGACATGGGACAGAGTCCCACCTCCTGCGTGAGAAACTGGATCTGTTATGAGCTCAGAGGCTGACATTTTGAACCCAGCTGCTGGGGCCAAAACAAGGCTGCTCCTGCCTCGGGAAGGGAATTTCATGGATTGAGATTTTGGGTGGCTTCCTCTTGAACCATCCAAAGGAATTTGGGACTGGTCTCTTCCTCCTTATCCGCTGCAGGCCTCCGTGCTGGCTGGAGAAGTGTGAATTGCCCATGCTGAGCAGCACAGACAGGAGTCAGCAGGCACACGCTGTCTCTGCTGCCCTCCTCCTCCACATCCAGGAGAAGCCCTGGGCTGGGAGAGCACCACTGACGGGTGAGAATGTGGGATCACCAGGATAAGGCAGGGAGGAACCATGTTGTGCCTGGGAGCCAAGGGAATAGCTGGCAGCCAGGGCAAGGGCAAAGTGATGGAGGGGAGGAGAATACAGTGGGTGAGCAGAGGCTGGGGTGCCAGGCGAGCCCCAGAAATCAGGTGAGAAGCCCGGCAGGGCTGGCAGGGGTGAGAGGGGTGACTGCACAGAGCCCTGGCTACACTCCAGCCCTTTTCAATGCAGCATGAGGCTCTGAAGAGTAGCTGGCTGCGGGCAGAACAGGGCTTGCCTCTGGCCCCTGGCTCCAGCTCCCAGGCTGCCATGCCAAATTTCAGCTCCTTTAGTGTCTGTCCCCCAGCCCTGAGCTGCCCAGGTCCGGCCTCAGTAGCCACCGGGGGGCTCCTAATTATAACAGCAGACAAAGAGCCGGGCTCTGACCGCAGTGCTGCGTCTGACAGCCTGTGCCTGGGGATGCTGGAAGTGCTGCTGGCAGTCCTGGCAGTGGCCAGGCTGTGTGGGGGCTTGAGGCCCCCCAGGAGCTGGAGGCTGGAATGGCTAGCAATGCCCAGCCTCAGGCATCATCCCCAGGAGCTGGCCGCTGCTGCTCTGCCAGCTGAGAAACCCCCATGGAGGTTCCAGATGGCCTTGGCTTGGGCAGGACAAGGGTGCCCAAGGAAGGTCCAGCTGGGAGCAGAGGTGGAGCAGGAGCGTGGAGGGGGCTGAGGCAAGGAGGGACATGGGGGCTGAACCGGCCCCACATCTCCCATGGCACCGAGTGGGCAGGAGAGCATCCCAGCATGTCCCAGTGTGTGCCCCAGGTGCATTCCCGTGCTTCTCCCCCATCTCTGCAGCGGGAGCTTGGGGTTTGCCAGAGCTCTGCCACGTACAGAATGGAAGGTGCCACCTCTGCGGCAGCCGTGCTCAAACGAAGCTGCTATTATAACACTGGCCAGGGCACACGTACACACACACAGCTGCCTGTCAGGAGGACATCTGCCTCTGCTCACCCTTCAGCTTGGCCTCAGTCCTGCCCTTTGAGGCCCTTCATGTCCCCTCCGGGAAGTTCTTGGTGCGCTGGCTGTGCTGGAACTCAGCCGGGTGTCCCTCAGCTCTGGGATGCTGCTGGTTTGGGGCTGGGTACCTCATCTCCTGGTGCAGGAGTGCAGCACAGTGCCTCTTCCCACCTGGTGCCACTGACATCCCTCTCTGACGTGTCACTGTGGGAGCTGCAGGGTGGCAGCTGGGACAGAGTCATCGGGGGACACGGGGATTTCCCCCTTTCCTCTCCAGGCAGCTGAGTACAGGCAGGGACCCGCCACCTCTTGGAGACCCTGACAGAACGTGCCAACACAGCCTGAGTGAGAGGGTTCCCGCTCTGGAGGGTGACAAGGCTGGTGACAGCTCTCCCAGGATGTTCAGAGCCGCAGGTATTGGTGTCCCAGCGCTGTCACCAAACTGGTGTGAGTAGCGGTGGTAACACCACAGGCACCCCCGAGCCACAGAGGGCCCAGCCACCCACGTCCCCGGGAATGGCCCCGCAGCGGGGCGAGGGTCCCGACTACAGCATCTCGGCAGAATCTCTGGCTCAGGTTGTGCCGTGCTGGATACGGCATCTCCATGGAAACCCCCGGCTCGGGCGGTGCGGGCTTGGGAGATGCCATCTCCACGGAAACCGCTGCGGCGCCCGGATGCGGCCGGGATGCGCCGGGCACCGGGTACCGCGGCGGGAGGAGCGGGGTGTGAGCGCGCCCCTGGTGCGGGCCGATGGAGGCTGAGAGACTCGGGGAGCAGGGACCACCCCTGTCCCCGGCACGGGATGTGTTGGGGAGAGCATTTCTGAGCCTGACGTTCCAACCTCAGACTTGCCTCCCCTGTCCTGTTTGTCCCGCACCGTGCCAGGCTGAGCCTCTCGCCTCCGATCGGTCGGGGGGCGGTGCTCAGCCTCTCTCGCACCCCGGGGAGTGGAGCTCGGGCCCATTCTGGGGAGGACCGTTTCCAGCCCATGGGGGCTGGAGGTGTTCAGGGACACGGAAATTTCCCGGTCCTAGTGGGTAAAGGTACAGGATCCCAGGGATCCACCAGGGACCCAGGGGCGCTCCATGACGGCCGCAGTGCTCGCATTCACATCCTGAGCTTGGGAAGCCAGAGGGACAAGATTTCAGCTGCAGAAACAGCCCAGACGAAATATTTTACGGGTTATTTATAGCCCGCATTTAAAAAAGATAAAAAAGAAACAAAAAAAAAAAAAAAAAAAACAACCCACAACCCTCCAAAAAAAAACAGCGACCAAAAGCCTTTTGTTTGTTGATTTTAAATCTGCCTTTTACTCCATCCCACTCCCGCTGGCCTCCCGGGACGCGGGGCGCAGGAGCCCGGCTGCACCGGCAGCTCCCCGGCGCTGGAGCGGCCCTTGCTCCCGGGTGGGTCCGTGCCCCGGAGGGACCTCGCGGTGGCCGTGCTCGTCCCCAGCCCCACGGCAGCGCCGCCGGCCCTGCCCCGCTGCCCGTGCCCGTCCGTGTGCCAGCCAGGCTGGGCGGCCCCGGGCCCGGATTAGCCGCCGCTCCCCGCTGGCACCGGGAGCAGCTCGGCCGCCCTTGCCGCGGCTCCCCGCTCCGTAAGCCCGGCTTTGACGTAGCCCGGAAAGTAGGCCAGTAAGAGCAGTAAGAGCAGCCGCAGCCGCTCGCCGCTCCCGGGGGACGCGGCGCTCCGGCGGCCGAGGGAGGGCTGCGCCTTCGCTCCGCGGCACCGGGGCTCCCGTGGCCCACGCGGGGGCCGGCGACAACAGGGCTTTGTCCAGGTTCTCCTCGACTCGCATCCTGTCTGGCAGCCGGCAGCCGGCCCTGCTGTCGCGGGGAGAACGACGATCAGGCTGGGGAAGTCCCCGCAGGGAGCCACCCCAGCCCGCAGCCCTGCCGGGCTCCCCGGCCCGCTTCTGTCCCCTTGCAAAGTGGGCATCCCTGGCATCCCCCTTTCCTGCGGCAGACCTGGAACGGGTTATTAATTGAAAAACCCCGAGCTCCTGTGCCCAGTAAATCCATTTCTGCAGAGAAGTCAGAGAGCCAAGCGCTGCCTTGATGTGAGGCTGTAGCACAGGAGCCTGGAGGAGCAGGGATGTGAGCACCAGTGGTCACCCCGCGCCAGGATCCCTCCTACACAACCCACCAGCTCATGCTAACGTTGTCCCCGTGTATTTTTGAAGCCTCTCTGGCTACTGGAAACCCCAGTTCAAGCCAAGTCTAGTCCAGTGCTGCCATTCTGCACAGGATGAGGCAGATCCAGATGTGTGGCTACAGCTGTTCTCTCCCACGCTGAGCATCACCCCCACTCAGGCTGCCAGAGCCACCAACTCTGTGTGAGGCAGGGATCCATACAGGGATCTGCACCTCAGCAGGTCCTGCCGCTGATCCAACTTGTGACAGCGGCAGGACCTGCTTGTTCCCGGTCTGAGCTGGTGTTACACCCGCCAGCCTCGGTCCTCTGCAGGATCTGCACCTGAGCACTGCCCTGGTGCCACCGTCCTCCTGCCCCTGGAGGGAGCATCGGAGCTGGGGAGGTTCCAGTTCAGGCTGGGGCAGGGCCAGACCTCGCGGGGCAGTGCTCCCCTCTTCAGGGACACAGGTGACACCGCGCACGGCAGCAGCATCCTTTGCCGTGGGGTGGGCCAAATTGGGGGGCTGAAGGCAGGTGGGGGGTTCCCCCTCCCTGCAGAGAGGCAAACAGCAGGACAGCACCCCGCAGGTCCTGCTGAGCCCGAACCAGCTCTGCTGTAACAGCCCCCGGACCATTCCCTGCCGGGTGCCCGGAGCTCCCCGGGGCTGGAGCTGAGGTGGGCTGGGTGCTGGGACAGCCCATCGTGTCCAGCCAAACACTGTCTAGGCCGGGGAGGAGGAAGGCAGAGCCATTGGCCAGGGCAGGCGAGGGAGGGTCCCGGCAAGAGGGACAGGGACAGCAGTGTCGCAGGGATGTCCTGGCCTCAGTAGCCGGGGGTTGGGGGCGGCTCTGGGGGAATGCAGGCAGGTGGAGGGGCTGGCAGGGGACGCTGCCTCCCCCTCCTCAGGGCGCTTCACCTTTTACTGAAACAAACACCACCCCCCCACCCTTCACGACATCTCTGTGGCGAAGGTTTCCCATGGCAGAGGGCCGCAGGCTCTGCTGGGGCCACCAGCCTCGCGAGGGGCTCTCGGCGTCACGGCACAGAAATGCTCACCACTTCTTCTCTTCTCTCCTCTCCCTCTCCCTCTCCCTCTCCCTCTCCCTCTCCCTCTCCCTCTCCCTCTCCCTCTCCCTCTCCCTCTCCCTCTCCCTCTCCCTCTCCCTCTCCTCTCTCTTTTTTTCCTTTCCCCTTTCCTTCTTCCCTTCCCCTTTCCTTTTTTTTCCAAGCAACACAACCGCGGCCCCATCACGGGCCAGCGCCCTCGGACTCCCCGGCCCCGGGTGCTCCACGGGCCACAGACACTCAGGATGGGTCCCCAGCCAGCTGTGACACCTGCCCCCCGTCAGCCCCCAGTCCCTTCCCAGCCTAGGGAGGGCCCTGGGCAGTCAGGGATCCCAGCAGTCAGTCAGCACGGAGGGTGTCTGTGCCCCGACCCCACAGAACGACCCCCGTTCCCTGGTCTGACCCAGCTGCGAGGCAGAAGGGTGGCCCTGGGGACAGGGCAGAAGGGTGGCCCTGGGGACAGGCCGTGCCCGGGGCAGGCTGCAGTGCCAAGGTGGGAGGAGGCGTCCTTGACACGAGGGACACATTTCCTGGGATCAGCAGCAGCTCCAGCTCCTGTGCTGGGGCTGGGAAGTGCTCCTCCAACTGGTGCTGAGCACAGCCCACGTTGTGAGTGGGGGGACAGGCCTGGAGGGATCCCTGCCCAGTCCATAAGGCACTGGCACATCCCTCCACTTGTGCTGGATGCACCGACCAACCCCTGAGAGGCACCTCACTGTCACACTCCGAGGGGTGGCCGGGCACAGAGCATGGGATTGGAGGTGGGCAGCAGGAGTGGGGGCTGCCCATGGACAGAGCCAGCTCCCAGCACGTGCAGAGCTGCAGAAGCACCTGACAGAGCCATTTCCAGGTGATCAGGTTTATTAGGGCTGAGCAAGTACTCTGGGAGTGCAGGTGGACCCCAGAAACAGCCCGAGGCCAGGCTCAGCATGACAAGGTGGGGAGAAAGCCCCTTTGGCCAAGATTTAAGAATCTATATAGGTACAAAAATGGGGATATAAAAGACAAAGGACAGGATGTTGGCAGCTATTCCAGTCCCTCACCATGCTCCTGAATGTGCCCCACTATGAACTCCTGACCAAGCTCTCACCCTCAACTCAGCCAAAGCACCTGACCCTGCATGGACCCCAAGGACAGGATGGAGGGCCCAACCTGGCCCTGGACACTGCCAAGGCAGCCATGCAGACAGCACAGGGAGGGCGGCCCTGGGTTTTATTGCAGAGAAAGAGGTAGAAGGAACTGGACAGAACCAGGAGCTGCTCCTGGTTCCTCTGCTCGTTCCAGTTTGAGCCTCCCAGGCTGCAGACACAGAGCTACCGTGCTCTGCGGTGCCGGGGCTGTGCCTTCTGCCCAGGAACAGTCCTCCCACTGGGCACAGCCTTCCCCCCAGGCACAGCCTTCCCCCCGGGCACAGCCTTCCCCCTGGGCACAGCCTTCCCCTTGGGCACAGCCTTCCCCTTGGGCACAGCCTTCCCCCTGGGCACAGCCTTCCTCCCAGGCATGGCCTCTCCCTCAAGCCTGGCCCCGCTGCCAGGAGCCGTGTCAGGGACATCCTCAGCTGAGATAGGCTGGATGATGTGGCCAGCACGGGTGATGACTCGAGGGGCTGTCAGCTTCTGGAAGGCACGCTGAGTGTTCCACGTGGGGCCCAGGGGCGTCCGCATGCTCTGCTCGAACTGCTGGTGCCGCTCAAAGGGGAAGGGCAGCTCGCTGACCTGTGGGGACACCACAGGGGTAATGGCCCTGAGCCACCCAGCCCAGCTTTTCCAGCCCATGCTGCCCCCAATGCTCACTGCTTCCCACTTGTCCAGGACCCACTCACACTCTGCTTCCCTTTCCACTGCCAGCAGAGCCCAGGAAGGCTGGGACAACCACCACCACCAAGGGAGCAGCCCTGTACATCCCTCCCTTCATTTCCGAGCTGTTTAAGCTGGAAGCTAAGAGCTGGGCAGGGATTGTGGACATTTTGGGAAGGGATCATAGGAATGCCCCAGGCTTGCCCAGGCACTGGAGCTCTCACGGAGACCAGGTGTGGCCCACCTGATGCGCTGCCGCGTGGATGTTACGCTTCTCGCTGATGATGACGTGGGGCAGGTGCTGGTCCTTCCGCGGAGGCGCCGGCGGCGCCTTGATCAGGAACCTGTGGGCAAGTGAGGGGTCAGGGCTGGCACGGGGCTGGGCAGAGCCCCGAGCTCTCCCCCACTCACCTCTTGACCTTCTTGGCACTGGGTTTCAGGCCTGTGCCACCCCACTCGCCCCAGCCTGGCAGCACCAGGTTCACTGGCTGCGGCTTCACCGCCTCCTCTGCCTTGCGCTTCTCCCGGCGGAAGTCAGCGACCACATCGTCCCCAGCAAAGGCTTCCGTGATCATCCCGCGCTGCTCCATGCCACCCTCCTGCACCAGGACAAGCCAGAGTGGGTTTAAGGGTTATTGGGGGAATTGGGAGAGACTGGAACAAACTGGGAGGCACTGGGAGAGGGTTTGAGGTACTGGGAAGAGTGGGAAGGGAGTAAAAGTTACTGGGCATTACTGGTGGGGTTTGGGGTTACTGTAAGGGGTTTAGGAGTACTGGGAGCTACTAGTTTGGGGCTTCTAATTACTGGGAGGAGGTTTAGAGTTACTGGTTTGGGGTTACTGGGAGATACTGAAAGGAGGTTTGGAGTTACTGGAAGGGAGTTTAGGGTTACCAGGAGAGGGTTTGGGGTTACTGAGACCTAAGGGTTTGGGCATTACTGGACGGGTGTTTTGGGTACTGGGGAGCATGGGGAAGGCCCATGCTGCTCACCTCCTCCTCCAAGACCACAGGCAGGCTGGAGCAGTCCATCTCCTGGGGCTTCCCATCCAGCACAGCCTCCAGGCTGATCATCTTCCTCTTGGCTGCTGCTTTCTTGGTATGTCTGTCCCCAGTTCTGGTGACAGACACACTGGCTTTCTCCTGCTGCCGTGCTCGCTTCCCTGGTCTCAGGGCTACCAGCTTCTCCTGCTCTTCCACAAGCTCCTCCTTGGCCAGACTCTCCATATCCTCCATGGTCTTCACATGGCGCAGCTGCTCCGAGAGCAGGAGCTCCTCCTGGGCCTGAGGGGGAGGCTCCAGTCCTGCACTCACCAGCTCCTCAGCACAGACTGGGGGTACTGGGCTGTCCCGCAACTCCTCGGCACAGTCTGGGGGTACTGGGCTGTCCCCCAGCTCCTCGGCACAGTCTGGGGGGACTGGGCTGTCCCCCAGCTCCTCGGCACAGTCTGGGGGGACTGGGCTGTCCCCCAGTTCCTCGGCACAGTCTGGGGCGACTGGGCTGTCCCTGGGCTGCTCAGCACCAGTCTCAGTCTCATCAGCACCTACATGTTGAGGGTAGAAATAGTCACTCCACAGGGCAGAGAGCAAGGACAGCTGTGTGAAACCAGCCAAAAACTGTCACCAGATCCCTCTTCCTTTTGTCCAGCCCCCCGCACCCACAGCCTACCCAGCTCTGGGCCTCGAGCTACTCACCATGGTCCTTGCTGTGCCCCTCGGGGTTCCCTGTCCGCTGCTGACGCTTCTGCTCAAAGTCTTGCAGCAGAGCTTCTTCCTCTGACAGCTCTTCCTCCTCCTCCTCCATCTCATCCTTGCTCTCCACAGCACCAGGCACTGTGTCATCTCTTGGACCCTCCTGTGCCTCAGGTTCCGGGGCCAGGCCACTGGGCTTGCCCAGCATCCAGGGATTAGCCCCGCTAGGCATGGGCAAGGCCGTGGTGTCCTCCTCAGGCACCTCACACGGCTCCTCCTCGGGCGGCTCCACCTGCACCTTCTGCATCAGCTCCTTGTTCCTGGCCAGCTGCTCCTGCAAGGCCTTGCGGGCCTGGGAGGCACCGAGAGGCTCTAACACAGGGCAGAGACAACATTCCCAACCTTCCCTGCCCTTCCCATTCCCAGCCTCAGTCTCCCCTCCTTCCCCAAGCAATGCTGAGGACCCTGCCATGGCATTCCAATATATAAATGGGATTATAAGAGATAGAGAAACTTTATACTGTGGCTTGAAGGGACAGGACAAGGGGGAATGGCTGCACATTGGCAGAAGGAAGGGCTAGATGGGATACTGGGAAGAAATTCTTTCCTGTGAGGGTGGGGAAGTCAAGGCAGAGATTGCCCAGAGAAGCTGTGGCTGCCCCATCCCCAGAAATGTTCAAGGACAGGTTGGTCAGGGCTTGGAGCAACTTGGTCTAGTGGAAAGTGTCCCTGCCCATGGCAGGGGGGTGGAACTGGATGAGTTTTAAGGTCCCTTCTCACCAAACCCTTCTGTGGCTCCATCTCACCTCGAGGTCATACTTAGCCATAATGGCTCTGGATCGGGCCCATTTTCCCTTGTTCTGGTGCTTAAGGCTCATCCGCTCCTGGGGAAAGAGAAGCATCACACAGAGCTCCCCAAGGAGCAGGGCCCTCCCGAGGGGTGAGGCAGAGGTGCCGAGGCAGCACCTGCATCCTGAGCTGCTCCAGCTCCTCCAGCTGCTCCAAGGCAGCCGCAGGGTCCGACTTGTGCAGCTGCTCGAACTCCTTCAGGGCCTGGCGCCTCCGGCTCTTCTTCAGCACGCGGTGGTACCTGTGGCACAGGGCTGGCTCAGGGGCTGGGCAGCCACGGGCGAGGCAGGGCCACCCTGCCCTGCCCTGCCCTGCCCTGCCAGCGTGCCCAGCACAGGCACAGCCTCACTTCTTGCTCTTGATCCGCTTCGCTCGCCGAGCCTTCGCCTCGTAGTAGGACTGCACTGCCCGGGCCTTCTGCAGCTCCGCCCGCCGGCGCCGGGCCTGGGGTGAGGCACGGGGAGCATGGGGTGAGGGACGGGAGCACGGGGTGAGGGAGGGGAACACGGGGTGAGGGACAGGAGCACGGGGTGAGGGACAGGGAGTATGGGGTGAGGGATGGGAGCACGGGGTGAGGGATGGGAGCACGGGGTGAGGGACGGGAGCACGGGGTGAGGGAGGGGAGCACGGGGAGCACGGGGTGAGGCACGGGGAGCATGGGGTGAGGGATAGGGCCAAGGAAGAGGTCCCAAGAGCCAGGGCCCAGCAGGGTGAAGCTTCACCTCCTCCAAGCTCATGGCCTGCACTGAGGCCATCTCCTCCGGTGTCAGCAGCGGGTCTGTGATGGGCTGCTGTGTCTTGTGGAGCAATCCAAAGATCTCCTGCTCCAGTGGAGTTCGGGCCTGTTGGGACAGTAGACATGGCAAGAGGATGAGGAGAAGTGCAAGCAGCAGTGCTCCCCTGGATGTCCCCATCCATTCTCACTGCCCCCACGTTGGTCTGTGGAAGGCCCAGAGAAGCATCCCCTGCCTTGGGGGACTGGGTGGCCATACCCCACTCATTGCTCCCACACCACAGCCCTTGGGCACTCTCCCAGCCACACGGCCAGGTGAGGGCAGGTAGAATTCTTCCCACATTAGAAAAGTGGCCTCCCAGTTGCCAGGCAGTGCTGATTGGGGGGAACCATACAAGAAGCATGGAGCAGGAGTTCCAGGCCATGCAATGCCATGTCCCTCCAAAACACAAAGGGACTTTTGGGCAGATCAGTGTGAGCGACAGGTTTGCTGGGAGTTCAGCAGGGGCTGTCCCTCCCTCCCCTGGGCATCTCCCAGGGACAGCAGTGCTTTCCTGCCAGCAGCACAACCCCATGGGAACTCACATTCAAAACCAAACACCTCCCTCTTTTGTAAGGAATGTTTCCAGGCACGCAGGATTTGGCAAACCAATCCCCTCTGTCTCAGCACTTGTGGCCAAGGGACACTCCCATGTGCCTGGCCCTGAGAGGCTACAAGAGGGGACAGAGCAGGCTCCAAACCCTCTGCTCACACCCTACCTGGCTTGTCCCAGATGGAATTGACACACCTGCTCTGTGAAACGACCCTTCTGGCCTTCCCAAGCCCAGCGGGCACCTGCCCAGTGTCACCCCCGGGCTGGGCCTGCCACCACTGCCCCCGGCACAGCCAGGAGACATCGACCTGCCCCAGCTGATCTTGGAGCCACCCAGCAGCACCCCCAGAGCCACCCCAGCCGTGTGAGCCCCGGTGCCACCTTCCAGGCCGAGGTGACCCTCTCCAGAGGCGTGACGGTGGCGATGTCCTGCCGCAGGGGGAACACCAGCTGCTCCGCGCGCCGGTTCTGCAGCACCACCTGCTGCCACTTCCCCACCTCCTTCGAGCTGGTCACGTAGGCTGCCTCCCTCACCACCTGCAGGGGAACGGGACGGGCAGAGAAAGGTGATGGTGGCATCAGCGAGGAGCACGGGGGTCATGGGGGCTCAGCTCACTCTCCCCTGGCTCCCTGCACTCACCCTCTTGGCCTCCTCTTTGCTCAGTGGCAGCTCCACCGCCGCCTTCTGCTTCACTCTGGCCAGCTCCTTCCTCACACTGCCCAGCGTGGATTTGGGATGAATGGGCTGCAGCAGCTCCGACAGAAGCAGCTTTTCCCCAGCACCTACGAACAGGTGTGGCACTGCCGGGTGAGGGAGCTGTCCCAGCCCTCAGGGGGCTCTCGGCGGGCAGTGCCATCCCAGATCCGTGAGCCCTGCCCATCTCCCCGCTCACCTTTGCAGCTGACATTGAACTCGGACACCTGCCCGCTGGCCTCCGAGCGCTCCGCCAGCTTCCGCCTGCGAGAGAGAGACAGAAAACACCCCAAAAGGTTCCTCGTGTCCGCCGGCTGCTCTGCAGGGCCTGGGGCCGGTGCTGAGGGCAGGGCAGAACCGTCCCCCTGCACCCCTTCCCGTGCAGCCCCCCGCCACCCACGCGGCTTCGCAGGAGCCCCGGGACGCCCCCAGCCCCACTCACCGTTTCCGTCCGGACAAGGCGCTGATGGCCTCCAGGAGCTGCCGGTGCCGCCGCTCGCCATCCTCCTGCCACAGGGCACACGCGGTCATTGACCCAACCTGGCCCTAGTGCCCGCTGCCCCGTTCTCCCCGGTGCCCCCACGGCACCGCCCGGCCGGGTCCCGGGCCCGACATCCCCGGCCAGGCCACGCCGTCCTCCGCTGCACCCACCCCGGCCAGGAGAGCGCCCGGAGCCCCGCAAACAGCAGTGGAGGCCGCCCGGAGAGCCCGTGGCGCTGTTCCCGGGCCCGCTCACCCCCTCCTCGCTGTCGCTGCCGCTCCCCGCCGCCGCCGCCGCCTCCTGCTCCGCCATGGCCGCGCACGCCGGTACTGCCGCAAAGCGCCACCGAGTGTCGCGCCGAGCCCCGGCGCCCTGCCGCAAAGCGCGCCGCCGTGACGTGCGGGTTGCCATGGCAGCGGTCCCGGCGGGCGGGGCGGGAGAGGCGGCGGGGACCGAGGGGGCCCGGGAGGGACGGACAGCGCCTCGCCCGCCTCGGGACCCGCCGGGCCACCGCGGGACACAGCAGCTCTGCGGCTCTTCGCTCCCTCCCTGACCCTCGCGGGTCCCCCCGATTCCAGGATTCGCTGTTTTCCCGCGGGACGCGCCAGTGCCGCGGGCTCGGGACGGAGCTGCCGCACCTCCGGTTCCTCCCGGCCGGCCGGACCCGGCTCCTGGGAGCGTTTTTGGGGTCAATGGGATCTAGAGGATCGTTGGAGCAAACACACGGAGCTGTCAGCCACGAAGCGGTGTCCGTGTCTGCCGCTGCTCCCACAGCACCCGCCCTGCCCGCGCTCCTTGTCGTTCTGCTCCGTCCCGAGCCGGGCGCACGGGGGGCTCGGGGCAGGAGGGACGGGGATAACGAGCTGTTCCCCGTCCGCTCCCGTCTCCATAGTAACAGCCGCGGGAAAAGTTCTGTATTTTGCCCCCGGGTTTGGCGCTCCGGGCCCTGCCTTTGCTGGCAGCCACGTGCCCGGCGGGAGCGCTGTGTGCGGGATTCCGGAGAGGGCTGCCGGGGCTGGGATAACAGGGATCGATGGGATGCCGGAGGCAGGATGCCGGCAATGGAATCCTGGGGGGCTCTCCGGACCCAACCGCACGGTGTGGGCGTGCAAAACCGTGTGAAAAGTACTGTGCGAAATGTGGGAATGTGCGGATGGGGCGGGAGGGGCTGGGCGGGGAACCCACGACAGGAGCACCCCGTGCGCTCCCCGCGGCGCTGGGGCTCGGAAGCCCGGTCCTTGTAGGCATCCGGTGAGAGAAAAGGAAAAAGAGAAACGGGGAGCTGCACCCGGAGGTCTGGAGGGAGCAACCGAGCCGAGCCGAGCCGAGCCGAGCCGAGCCGAGCCGAGCCGAGCCGAGCCGAGCCGAGCCGGAGCCCTCACGGCTCCGCCCCCACCACGTGCCGCGCCCCGCCCTCACCCCGCCCTCCCTTGTCCGCACAGGGGCGGGGTCAACCACGCGGAGTGGCAGCGCCCTCAGCCAATGGGCCAGCGAGAAGAGGCGGGGTGGGAGGAGTCACCACGAAGTGACAGCGCCAGTGACCAATGGAGTGGCGAGAAGGGGCGCGGTGGGAGGAGCTGTCACGGACTGACAGCGCGCTCGCCCAATGGAAAGGCGGGAAGAGGCGGGGCGGGGCGGAGGGCGCGGCGGGACCAATGGCCGCGGCGGCCCCGCCCCGTTGGGCGCGGGGCGTGGCGGCCCCTCCCGGCGCGGTGCGAGCGACCGGCGCGGCCCGAGCGGCACCGGCACCGGGTGAGCGGCAGCGCGGGGCCCTTCCCGGCCCCTTCCCTCCCTTCCCCTCCCTTCCCCTCCCCTCCCTTCCCCTCTCTAACCCTTCCCATCCGCGCTCTCCTCGCCACCTCCCGGCACGCCCGCAGAGCCGCGGCTGCCGTGCCCTGTGTGGCCCGGCCCTGCCGCGTCCCCTCCCGGTGCGGAGCCGCCCACCCGGGGGTCCTCCTGGCCGCGCCCCGCGCCCCCTCCCGGGTGGATTCCCACGGCAACGCCCCTCCCGGGCGCGGGGTTTCCATGGCGACGGCGGCTGCCGCCCCCCGTGCCGGTGCCGCCGCCGCCCTGGTGCTGACCGAGCGCTCTCCCGGTTCCCTCTCCCGCAGCCGCCGGCCCAGCCCAGCCCAGCTCGGCCCCGCGGGGCCCCGATGATGCTGGGCGCTCGGGCGGCGGAGCAGCAGCAGCAGCAGCGCCCGAACGTGCGGCGGCCGCCGCCGCCCCAGTGACGGCCCCGCCATGTCGGTGATGGTGGCGAGGAAGAAGGTGGTTCGGAAATGGGAGAAGCTGCCGGGCAGGAACACCTTCTGCTGCGACGGCCGTATCATGATGGCCCGGCAGAAGGGCATCTTCTACCTGACGCTCTTCCTCATCCTCGGCACCTGCGCCCTCTTCTTCGCCTTCGAGTGAGTTCCGCGGGGACCCACGGGACGGGGACGGGGATGGGCCCGTGTGCCCTGGGCCTCCGGGAGAGGGAGGGAAGCGAAGTGCGGCTCTCCCTGTCCAGATCTCCTTCCTCACCCTCAGCAGACTGACCCTGGAGGTTTTGGGGGCAATGGGCCCTGCCGGAGCCCTGCCGAGGGGTGACACTGGCCCTGCTTCCCTGTGGGTCACCTTCTGTCTGGGACTTGGCAGTCCCTTGTCCCGAGTGCTCCTGGCTCCAGGATAGTCGGGGTGCAAGGGGACAGCTGCTGCAGCCCTGGGGCACAGCCTGTGTCCCTGCCCACGGGGGCACGTGCAGCCCCCACATCAGCCCCACTAGGGAGGTGACCCCAGCAGGAGGATTAATGAGGAGTGAGCTGTGGGGTCCTGCCAATCTGACCTAGCCCCAGCCCCAGGCTGCAGTGCAGCCGGAGCCACGCTGGTATTTGGGAAGGATCCGACCACCCTTTACATCACCTCGGCAGCCTAAAGACCTTCAGCCAAAACCTTTGATCCTGCTGAAAAAGAGGGATCTGCCACCTCTGAAACAGAGGGATCTGCCCCCTCCCCTCAGCTCTCCCTGGGAGCTGGGCTGGGGAGTTTGGCTGGCCTTAGACTAATCCTGAAATCAAAAAACAAGCAAAAAGGGAAAAGCCTATGTTTGTCTGGGCTGATGCTGCGGCAGGGGGCAGGACACCCCTGTTGCCTGGCTAGAGGATGAACTTGGATCAGCTAAACAACTGAAAAACTTCCCTTCCTCGGTCTCCATGGGCATGTTTGTGTTGTGGGGCAGCAGAAGGGCTGAAACAGGGTTGGGTAATACAAAAGGTCGAAAAGCCAAGAAGAGCGAGTAAAGGGACCTGCTCACTGGCTAAGCCCCTGGCTATTCTAAAAAGCCCTGGTCCTCCTCAGCATCGTTCCTAAGCCAGGGAGCTTGTTCCCACATTCCCTGGCCCAGCGTGTCTCTCCCTAGTTCCCTGCCCAAATTATCCCTGGCTCAGTCTGAATTCCGAGGTACCAAGCGATACCACTCTTGGTTTGATGTTTGGGGTTTTTTCCATCTGAAAAATAGGGCTGAGCCTTCCTGCCTTACAGGAAGAACTAATAAGTGTTGCTGCTCCAGAAACGCTTATTGCTGCACCAGAAACACTGATTTGAGGGATAATTGCTCTGGCTCCCTGTGGATCCTGCCCGTAGCAGGAGAGTGAACCACATCCCACTCTGCCGTGGTTGCGCTAAGGCAGAGTGAGCCAAGGCTGTTTTCCAGACCTAGGCTGTGGTTAGTCAGGAACGTGACTGGAAATTCCTTGAGAAGCCCCTTTCCACGCTCTGGCAGGCAGAGGCCTGTGGAGGAGTCGCTTGCACCAAGACATCGAGGCTGTGTGTAGACGTGGAGGGTGGGCTCTGCGGGGGGAATGCTGCTGGGAACAGGATCACCTCTGAATTTTAGTTAAATCATCTGAGGGAGATAAGGAAAAGTTTGGGAAAATCCAAATACCCAATAAACTGATTCTTTCAGTGCAGAACACCTCAGTATTTTTTTGTTTGGAACAGAGGAGGTTGTTTTGAACTTGTTTGGGGATTTTTGAATTTGGGATAGGGATGAAATGTTGCCTTCCGAGTTGGAAACACTCCCCAAGGTCTCTGTTTCACTGATCAGGCTGAGATAAGCAGCTTGGCTGCTCAGGAGCCCTGCCTGCCCTGCATGTGTAGGGAGCTGTGGGTGAGGATCTCAGCCTCGCTCTTTCACTGTGTTGTCTCGGTGTTTGGCAGATTCTTTAGTGTTTGCGTGGAAATTCCTGGTTTCCCCGTGAAAGTTGCTGTGTGGATTTGGAGCGGCAGCCGGCGGTGGGCGGAGGAGCCTTTCCCTGGCTGTCCCTCACTGCAGGCTGCCTGTGCCGTGCTGCCTGTGCCGTGTCTCTCCATTCAGCTGAATCACTTGCGCAGTCACACCTTGTCTGAGCGCGGCTCCGGCTGAGCCAGGATCTGTCTGGCTGCTCGCCCTGTGCCAGGCTGGCTTGATCCCGGTGCTCCAGGCTGCTCTGGCTCCAGTTACAGCTGAGGCCGGTGGGGACCAGTACCCACGGCAGGAGGAAAGCCACAGCCCTTCCTTCCCAGCCCTGGAGCCATGGGGCTGCTGCTGGTGCTGGTTTCCACGGTGTCCACAGGCCAGCGTGTGTGGGAATTTCTGTGTGTTGATCCCCCAAACCGCAGCACTGTGTTCTGGGACTGGGGAAATCTCTCCCTCCAGGAGCAGCCAGGAGCCAGAAGCTGGCAGAACTCAGTGCTGTACCTGAGATCCGACTCCTCCCTCTTAGATAAGGCAGAGGGACTGAGCTGTGCTGGCTCCCGGGAAGGGCTCTGCAGCGACCGACTGGAGTCCTCTGCCCAAGGGCACCTCTCACCACCACGGGAGCAGCTCCCGCTGCTTGGGGCTGCTCCCTGCAGAGTCCGAGAGCTGTGTTTAACTGGGTCTGCTCCATAACACGTCCCATAAAATATAGTTTCACATCCTCTTGGCGTTATTTCAGACTCCTAATGGTATGTCAGCCCTGTGGTTGGGCACTTAGCTGCTGTCTTTTTGAGGTGTTCCCGCATAAGGAGACCAGACAAAGCACTTGTAAAGAAATCCCTTTATGAACTGGGATGATGGGACGCAGGGAACTCTCAGGCAGGGAGTTCCCTTTGCAGTTCCTGTCTCTCCTAAAGTGAGTTCCACGCTCAGCTGAAGGGAATGGGATTTCTTTTGTCTCTGACTTTTCAGCACAAAACTTGACATCTGTAAATGTTAGAGGCATGATAGCACCAGCAACACCACTCCTCATGGGAAGGGGCTGCTCTTGGATTTTCCAATACCGAAGCATGTTTGCCACTTTGTTTTTCCTACTTTTTTAGCTTTGTGGAGATGAAAATGTCTTTGTTTTCTGATGAGTTGAAAACACGTGAACTGCCCTTTGTGTGACTTTATTTTTTGGTTTTGATTTCCAAAGCCCAGAGTCCCAAGACTCACAGAGGGACCTCTGAGCTGGCATTACCTCTGGTTAGGTCTGTGTCAAGCATGGTCAAAACTTACACATGAGTTAATTCATGCTTTTTAGTCATTGTAATTTCTCTCAATACAAGTGAACTTTTTGGTGTCCAGAGTTCAGCTTGTTTTGTGCCTGTTTCTGGGGGAAGTGGCCACTCCTGGGGTTTGGATTGAGTTTTTTTCATATGTGAGCTCCTTCTCAGGAGATGACTTTGCCCTCCCTGCAGCCTTCACATCCTCTGTGGCACCCCCATTCCCAGGTGGATCTTGGGGTGATTTGTCTGTGCGGGGATTTTTTTGAGATTTTGGCTGGGAAAAGAGCAAAGACATCGGCATAACACACCTGTCTCCTGCCTCAGTTGTGTCAGAAACACATGGCGTGTGCTGATAGTTGATGTGTCACTGCTGGCAGGTGGGGAGAGGTTCCAGGGAGAGCTCCAGCCCTGCCTGGTGCTGCTGGGAAGGGTCTGGACACAGTGTTGTGGCGTGGCCAGGCTTTGGAGCAGCTGCTTCCACACTTACTTGCACACACAGCAGCTGCTAGACACCATCCCTTCCCTGGTGTGAACACCCAGCACAGCCAGGCTGAAGTGCCCTGGTGGGGCCTGCCTGGGAGATGTGCTGTCCTGTGGCCGTGGCTGCAGTCCCTGTGGCTTTCCCCTTCCTCCAGAGCTTTGCTCAACGTGCTGATTACAACAGACCTTCCCAAGTGGGTGCAGAATAACCAGCCAAGCACCGTAACTCATGGCACCTCCCAGCTGCTTCTCCCCCTGCTCCCCATTCCAATGATCCCTTTGTTCAGCCTTCCTGCCCCAGCCCACCCCGCTGTGACGATGAGTTGTGATAGTGCTGTTATTGTCTGCTTTTTGGTGACAGAATGCTCCAGAGCACAGATATGGTGCTGGGAATGGGGGAGCAGCATCCTCACATGCCAACAGAGCATCTCTGTTGGCTCTGAGCTCTCCCAAACAAAAGATCTTTAAATGTCTGTTCCTGAGCAGTGAAATCATCTTAGAGACAAGGCGTAGACTGAAGATACCCCAGTGCTAGTGAGTACCTGAGTACCAAGCCAGGACCTTGAGTGGCTGCTTTCCCTGCCCTGGATGTGCTCCCTGGAAGTCACCTGAAGAGTGAGGCCCCATCAGCACAGGGAGGGTGGAAAGCACATGGTGGGCTCCACGCTGGGCCTGGAGATGTAATTTCACCGTGGTGGGAGCTCCTCTGGCTCTAACCTCTGCCCTCACCTGGAAGGGGCCACAGATGCCAGCCTGGCTAAGGGGAGCTAAGCTAAGCCTGTGTGGAAGCAGGAGGGCCATGGCTTGGCTTTAACACAGCTCATGGATCCATATTTAAATCCACAATATGTTCATGTTGTCACAGCAGTTCCAAAAGCTGTCATATCAGCTGGACAAGGGTCAGGCCGCAGCCCTTTGGGGCAGGCAGACAGTGTTCAGCTTTTAAAGGAATAATCACAGAACTGTTTAGGGTGGAAAAGACCCCCTGAGACCGTCAAGTTCTCTGACTGGTGACCACCTTGTCAGCCAGACCAGAGCACTGAGTGCCGCATCCAGTTGTTCCTTGGACACCTGCAGGGATGGGGACTCCACCACCTCCCTGGGCAGCCCCTTCCAATGCCTGACAACCCTTTCCATGGAGAACCTTCTCCTGATGTCCAACCTGAACCTCCCCTGGCACAGCTTGAGGCTGTGTCCTCTTGTCCTGTCACTGGTTGCCTGGGAGAAGAGGCTGACCTGCACCTAAATCCATGTTCCGTCTTCCTAACCCCTAAATCCATGTTCCATCTTCCTAACCCCATATTTCTACCCCAAATGAGTTCCAAGGTTTTTGTTTACTTGCTGACTGCTCACAGCTGTCCCTGGACTTTGCCCTTGCAAAGGGAATGCAAAGTTACCTTGGGCTGCCTGAAGATGATAATCTTGGCCCTCGGGTTCTTTGTCTCTGGGCGGGGCTGGGCACAGGGACATTGTTTTGGGGAATGGCAGAGTGTGCAGTGTCTGAAATGAAGTATGTTGGTTTAAAGCCCAGGCTCTGTGTGTTGCTGTGGGCTTTGGTGTTGCAGCTGTGACTGAAACGTGCTGTAGCTTCAATGTGCAGCCCTTCTGTCCCTGTCACACGTGGGGGACAGCGCTGGGGTCAGGCAATGCCCAGGAAATGTTCCTGCAGTGGGCCTGCAGAGCCTGGTGCTGCCAGCTGGAGCTGGAAACTGCATTGTGTTTGGGGAATCTCTGGTGGGAATGCCATCCAGAATTAAATAGTGCTGTGGAGGCCATGGAAATGGCCTTGCTTGGGATGGCAGCCCCCCTGGGAGGATAATCACAGCAGTAGCCTGATGCTCCCATGGAGAGTAACAGTGGAACAGCAGGAGTCTGGGTTGGATCCATCCCTCACCAGCAGGGATAAAGGTGGATCCTAGAAAGCCAGGTGCCTGAAAGCCTGGGTGCCCAGCTGCACCAGGAGGCTGGGAAAGGGATGTGTGTGAGGAATGGTGAGACATGGCACAAGTGGTGGGACTTAAGTGGAGTTTCCCTTAAACCGTAGCAAAACTCCACAGGAACTTCACCCCAACATCTGTAGGGTTTTCTGGAGGAATCAGGTTAAAATATGTTTTTTTCAGCCCAGTATGTCTCTAAAACGTGACTTCTGCCCAGGCCTCCTACACAGCTAGGGCTGCAGCGCCTCTGGGGACATGATTGTGGGTGTCCAGGAGCAGCATGGCCGTGGTGAGCTGAGTCCCATGCTCCCTTTGCATCTCCTCTATCACAGTGGGATCAGCACCATAAACTCCTTGTTGGGCCTTGCTGTATTTATAGAGCAAACAAACCTTGTTCCCTTTTGAGCTGGGGGAGTCTTGAAGCAGGAGCCTTTCTCCTTTATTTGGAGTGTTTTAGTCCATTGTCTCAGGACAGCCAAAGGAAGCCAGATGTCTTGTTGCATGGGAATGTTGTACTTCCACAGGAATCCATTCCTAAGAAGCACAGGATGCACTTAATCCCAATAATTTCTGTGGTGCTGGAAGCTCTGCTCTTTAAGGGTTAGCCAGAGATTCCCACCATCCCCACAAGCTTCCATGCCTTCTGTCTCTCCAGTTGTGGGGTCCCTGACCAGGCCTTGGGTGCTTCTCCCAGTGGTCTGGCCCATTCCATGGCAGCAGGAATGTAATGGACAAGGACTGTCCAGCTGCCTGGTTGTGTTTCTGTCATTCCTTAAAATGGGAGCTGAAAACAGAACAAATGCTGGGAAGTATCTGTGCCTAGCTGCTGGAAAACGTGGAGATGCTGTGATGGTGCCTGGTTGTTGGGGCTGCCCCAGCAGTGTTCCCCTGTGGTGGTGGGATCAGAAGGATGTACTGAACAGCTTCTCTGCTCCAGATCTCAGCAGTGCTGCGGAGTGCTGGGCTCTGACGCTGTGCCAGGCAATGAAACTCTGACTCACTGTCTCCTGCCCGTGCCCGCAGGTGCCGGTACCTGGCTGTCCAGCTGTCCCCGGCCATCCCCGTGTTTGCAGCAGTTCTCTTCCTCTTTGCCATGGCCACGCTGCTGCGGACGAGCTTCAGCGACCCCGGCGTGATCCCGAGGGCCCTGCCCGATGAGGCAGCCTTCATTGAGATGGAGATTGGTGAGTGTGGAGTGGCCAAGCGGGTGAGGGTTGGAAAAGCCTCGTTGTTTATGGTGTATTTCTAGGTTACAGTCCCTGCAGAGCTTATCTTCCTGGCTGGACCTCCGAAAGTGAGGATTGTCCCAATCTGCTGGCTCACTTTACTTGGCCGGGTTTCAAGAAGGCAGCACGATGTACCTGCATCCCTCTCTGGGAGCCGTTTCACCAGCTGCTTTCTCTCCCATAGCCGTGTACATGCAAACTCAGTTTGCTTTTGAGACGGGGTGCAGAAAGCTTGGAGTGGTCCCTTTGATCCTTCAGGGAGAGAGGAGGTTTGGTGGATGCAGGTGATAATACCCAGCCCACTCTCAACATGCCAATGAAAGCTCTGGCATCCCTTTATCCCTTTTCCTGCCTCTAAGCTGCCAGGTTGGCTCTGGCCTGGGTGAGCAGAGCTGCAGCCTCCGGCTCCTGGCTCCGATCCCGCTGGGAGGAAAGGCAGGGAAGCGAGTTGTCCTTTGAGGCCCGTGGTGTTGTAGCAGCAGGTCCGATCTGTGCCCGCTTCTCTCTGGCAGAGGCCACCAACGGCACCGTGCCGCAGGGTCAGCGCCCGCCCCCGCGCATCAAGAACTTCCAGATCAACAACCAGATTGTGAAGCTCAAGTACTGCTACACGTGTAAGATCTTCCGGCCGCCCCGCGCCTCGCACTGCAGCATCTGTGACAACTGCGTGGGTGAGTGCTGCTCGGGGCTGGCCTGGCCCTGCTCCTCACAGAGCCTTGGGACAGGGCACAGCTGCACCCAGGCTCGTACTGGGCAGCTCTGGACTGGTGGAGTGTCCAGGCTGCCTCGTCTTGTGCTCGAGGAGCTTGAGGTTTGCTCAGAACCTGGAGCCAGGTGCTTCCTCTTTGCCAGGACTTTGGCAATAATCGAGTCCAGCTGCTCTGTGTACGTGAGCAGCCCATTCTGGAGTCCCACTGGACTCTGGCCTTGCAGGAATGGAGGGTTATAGTGGAGAGCTCCTTCATCAGCACAGAGATGTGCCATTCCCTGGGGTGCCCTGCTTGTTGTCTTCCTTCTGTGTATGTATGTATGCTCAGCATCACTGCTCCAGGCAGAAATCCTGTCCTTTTGGACCCCTTCCCTCCTCTTCAGATTCCCAGCCTTTGTGTGTTTATGCAGTTTCTAAAACTTTCTCCTGATTATTCCAGGGTAAGAACTTGGGGACTCCCGGGCCTTGATCTAACCCATGTGCTGTGGCTGTTGTACCCCAGGGAGAGAAGACACATGGAGGGTCAAGCTCAAATTTTCTGTTGATGTGCAAAATCACTCAGTATAAAATAGTTTTGGACTTTTTGACCTCCTAAAGGGAGATCAGGATATGGGGTCCTGACTGAGCAGAGGGTGGAACTCGGCAGTTTGTGTCAGCCTGGGGGATTTTTGAAGTGGGAGCACAGGAGCAAGGGTCTAGAGGTGGGCAGGCCCATGCCAGGGCAGTGCTGATTTTCATCTTGGCTTCTTCAGAGCGCTTTGACCATCACTGTCCCTGGGTGGGCAACTGCGTGGGAAAGAGGAACTACCGCTACTTCTACCTCTTCATCCTCTCGCTCTCCCTCCTCACCATCTACATCTTCACCTTCAACATCGTCTACGTAGCACTGAGTGAGTCTGCCTGGAGAGCTGGGAGGGAGGGAGGGAGGGAGTGGGGCTACAGATGGTGTGAAACTAGAGTTAGGGAGTCAGAAAGGGAGCTGGACTCAGTGGGATGTTCCAGGTGGAAAAAATCTCTTTTTGTATTGCAGAATCTCTGAAGATTGGGTTTCTGAACACATTGAAGGAAACCCCAGGGACATATCCTTCCATGGTTCCAAGGGCTTGACTTCTCCAAAACTGGGGGTTAGTGGGAGCTGCACTGGGGAGTGGCTGCTTAGGCCACTCTGAGTCTTTCTGAGCATTTTCCCCTGGATGACAATGTGGGGAGCATTTTCTTGACTTTTGGGTGGAGAATAAAACAGAAAACAGTGGCTAGGAGAGCAAGAGAAGCTGATGTTTGTGGGAGCAGTAACAGGTGGGCTGGGCCTGCTTTCATGTTGTTCCCAGTCCTTAACTGTTCTCACTGTACTGGAGGTGCTCATCTGTTTCTTCACGCTGTGGTCAGTGGTGGGGTTAACTGGCTTCCACACCTTCCTGGTGGCACTGAATCAGACAACCAACGAAGACGTAAGTAGAGCCTTCCTCTTCCTCTGAGCTGTGGCCGTTTCTCAGTGTGTCAGGGCTGTGCACAGCACAGGGATCTGGGGGCTGGGGCAGGGTGGCCTTAGAGTAAACCTGAGCTTGTGCCCAACTATTTCAGATTAAGGGGTCCTGGACTGGGAAGAACCGTGTGCAGAATCCCTACAGCCATGGCAACATAGTGAAGAACTGCTGCGAGGTGCTCTGCGGGCCCCTGCCCCCCAGGTGAGCTGCTGAGGGGCTGCCTTGGCCTGTGTCTTCCACCAGCACTTCTGCTGGGAAGAGAGGTGGGATTTGGGGAGACAGGGGTCTCTGATGGTGTGGCTGTGTTCTTGCAGTGTCCTGGACAGACGGGGCATCCTGCAGCAGGAGGAGAGCACAGCTCAGGAGGGGTCGTGCCCGCGAGGACCCGGCACGCAGGAGCCCCCGGCCACGCAGGGCCCTGGGCAGGCCCAGGAGGGTGGCATGAAGCAGCAGGACGGCAGCATTCCTCCTCCCAGTGCCGTGAGTGATCCCCTTGGGAGCTGGGGGGGCCCTGGGACAGTGGGAGAAGGCTGAGAGTGTGACTTAGGAAGGACAAAATTACATGGGGGGTCATGTGAGAGGCTGCTGCTGAAAAGCTTGTTTGCTCTGACCCTGGAAACCAGTGTCTTGGTTTCCTTGGATTTCTTCAAAGGAGATCACAGCTGGCTGTAGTTTTGGAAATCAGTCCTGCCTTGAGAGCACTCAGGAGTTGTTGCCCATGGAGCTTTGTGGGGCTGGGGAGAGCTGAGACGTTGCAGACATCTTGTTCTGGTGCTGCATGTGAGCTGCAGGGCTGTCCCTGGGATCTCCATCCTTGGAGAAAGCTGTCGTGGCTCTGAGCAACCTGCTCTGTGTTTGAAATTAGTCCTGCATTAAGGACATAGTTTGACAGGAGACCTCCAGGGTGCCCTTCCCACCTAGATTATTCCATTAGCGTGGTGGGAAATGGCTCAGCTTGCTCTTGCCTGGGCATGAGCTGCCCTTCTCTGATGGACACTGCCCCGCCAGCTTCTGCTGGAGCAGTCCAGTGCTCCAGCTCTGTCTGAAGCAGCTGTTCTGCCTGTTGGGTGGCCCCTGGTTTTGGTTTCTCCTTTTCCCAAGCCCAGCTGAGACTGCTGCTAGTGGAGCTGGAGGTGCTAGGGGAGCGGTGGGACCTGTGTGCTCAGGCTCTGCACTGGGGATGTCCCTGCAGGTCACTCTGTCCTCTCTCTCCAGGTCCCTGCGTCGGCTGTGAGCGACACCGAGATGCCAGAGGAGAAGCAGCGAACGCCTGGGGAGCTCCCGGTGCCCTCCCCGGACCCTGGGCGAGCAGAGCACTAGCATCTGCTTGGAAGGGAGAACTTTGTTGTTTTGTCTAATCAAAGCTGGAAGTGGTGGAGGAGAGGAGAAGGGCTGGATGGCAGGCACCTGATTCCCCATGGCCATTTTGCTTTAGTCATTATCCCCGCGGTGCGGGCAGCGCTGGCCTGGCGCAGTGGCACGGGACAGCGAGCGCGGGTGGCACACCCTGGTCACCGTGGGGCACTGCCAGCGCCAGGCCTGCCTGGGGCCGGGCCTCTGGCTCTGTGGGCTGTCCTGGGTGCTCCATCCCGCCTCAGGGCTGGGGCTGTCCCTCCGCCCGGGCCCAGCTCTGACAGGGCGAAGCTGTCAGGGCCGGCCTGCTCCCTCCTGCTGAGGAATCCCCAAGGAAGGGGAAAGCAATCGTGGCAGCAATGTCCTCTCTCCCCTCCTCCCTCCTTCCTCTAATCTGTTCCGTTGTTTTGTGGTTGGCGTGGCAAAGCTTGTCAGGAGATGTTTTGGTGCCCCAAGGACCCAAACGAGTGGGAAGGAGTTCTGCTGGCAGCAGTTTTTAAGTGGCTGTCTTCCTGTGCTCTTTTCCATGTGATGTAACAAGGCAGCAGCTATGAGGGACCCTCCTTCCTGTCCTGCCCTGGTGCTCACACCACCCTGGGCTTCAAGGGAGAGAGAGGGCAGCCAGGGCGGACAGCTGCAGGGAAGGATCTGCCTGTGCCACTGGCTCCTGGCTGCTGCTGGGGCTGCATTTGTTGCTGGGTGTCTGCACTGAGCCCTCCCCTGCTGTGGCAGAGCAGCTCTCCAGGACCTCAGCCCCGATCTGTGTTGTGTCATTGCATCCCCTTGTCCCCCCCTTGCCTTGTTCTGCTGTTCTCATCCATCCTAGACTGGCTTTGGGAGCCTTGGATCTTCCCAGGATTGTGCCAGCTGCTCAGGGCTGGACTTGTGTGTCCTGGACAGAGAAGGAGAGGCTGGGGGGATGGTGGGTGAGCTCTGTGCCATGGCAGGGCTCCCCCCACCCCACAGTCCCCATCCTGCACTGGCAGGACCCTCACACCTCTGGGATCCCTGCAGAGGTCCCTGGTGGAGGAGAGGCCCTGGCAGCTCCTGGTCCCTTGTGCTGGGCACTCCCGTTCCTCCCCGCAGGCGTGTGATGGCTGCTGGGGGTGTCCTGCCAGGCCAGTCCCGTGTGTGTGTCCGTGATGCTGCTGGCTGGCAGCGAGGGGTGTGGATTGAACTGTCCCCTCTCCCGCCGTGTGGGGCCTCTTCTCCCGGGTGAGAGGGCAGAGCTGCCACAGCTGCTCCCAGTTGGAATGTGGCTGGGAAGGAGCCCCGGCGCCCTGCCATGGCCCTCAGCCAGCCCAGCCGCATCCCGTTCCATCCTCCAGGACAGAGCTCCTGTGCCCCACCCCGTGGGAGTCGCCCCAACACGCTACTGACCAAACCAAATCTCCAATTCGGTGCGAAAAAGTGTGTATTTTGGCTTTGCTGCTCCCTGTTCCACCAGGTGTGTGGAGTGCTGCCTGCCGGGACCTGCCTGCATGGGTCAGGGTCTCCCGAAGGAAGGAAGGGGGTTGGGTGAGGGTTGGGTGTTCTTTTTTTTTTTTTTTTTTTAATTATTTTTTTTAATTTTAAAACAATGAAGGAAACTTAATTGGTTTGAAAACGGCTGAGCTGTAGCCCCTGCGTGTCTGTGCTGCCCCAAGCCAGCTGCCTCTTCCCCCTTCCCTGTGCGTTTCCAGGACTCTCCATCTCACACTTCCAGGGTGTCTTAGCTGTGTTATTTGCATCTTGCTGTCCCCCATGGCAGGTGAGGGGGTTCTCTGTGTGTCCATGCTGAGAAGTGACAGTGTCCTGGGCAGGCTTCAAATGCTTCCATCCCCAGCTCTCCCTTCCTGAGCCTGCTGTAAACCTGGGAAAAGCAGCCAATGCCCGTGGTGTCTTGGCGGGGAGCACGGTGCCCCAGCGTGCCCAGAGTCCCTGCCTCGGGGCAGTGATGCCAGGCAGTGCCATGCAAAATGTCCTGGGGCACCTCGTGTCCACCCAGCATCTGGCTCTGGTGCAGGGGCTGAGCCGGGCCCCGAGGTGCCACCACTGGGGTCCCTGTCCCCCACCAGCAGCCGTCCCCTCCAATCCAGCCCCACTGTTAGGGCCAGAGCGGGAAGTGGCGGTGCCGGCGGGCTCAGGGGGATTGTGCCATGGAGAGAGCCCCCAGCTGCTCCTCAGGACCCAGCTCGGCCTCCTCCCGGCTGCCATCCAGGGTCTCGGATCCCTCGAAGCAGCCGGAGTCGCGGGGAATGTCCCCTTTGGGCTCTGAGGGCGATGGCGGGGCCTCGGTGGTGTCCCCATCCTCTGGCTCGCTGGCTGCTGGGAGAGGGCCGTGGGTTAGTGGTGCTGCTGGGGTGCCCGGTCAGGGCTCTCCCGCCCCTCCCAGGGCTCTTACTGTCATAGTCCAGGAGGAGCTCGGCAGCCGTCAGCAGCTTGGCACGGTGCTGGGGGTCCGTGATGTGCAGTTCGTTCAGGTGGGTCTCCCGCAGCTCCTTGAAGTCCTCCAGGGTCTGGTACCCGTTCAGCAGGAGGGTGGGGGTGTGTTCCTGGGTGGGGGGCGTGGGTAGGGGTGAGCAGGGCTTGGGTGGCTCCCCTGGCTCCCCCTGACCCCCAGTGCTGGCCTGTAGCTCCCCCCTCAGTGGGTCCACGGTGGGCACTTACCCCCACATTACCCAGAAATGCCCCACGTGTCCCCTCCGTGCCGCTGGGTGCTTGGTGGGGGGACCCAGGAGGTGGGGGACAGTGAAGGGGAGAGGGGTTGGTGGCACTGCTGGTCCCGTGCTGGGTGCTGCTGTCCCTCAGCCCCTGTCCCTCACCTGCAGGTTGATGCGCTCCAGCAGCTCATGGAGGGTCTTGGGCTTGAGGCGCTTGTTGCGGCTGGAGCCCCGGCTCCTGCGGGCAGGGACCGTCTCCTCGGGGATCACGTCCACGTAGATGAACTTGAAGGAGCCCACCTTGTTGTTGAGCAGCCCGGTCCAGGTGCCCACAGGTGGCTTCTCGATGATGCCGATGATGTCCCCTTTCTAGGCCAAGGGACATGGGATGGTGGACGGGCTTGGGGACAGCCAGGGAACAGCCCCAGCTCAGGGGGTCCCCGGCCACCCTCCCTCCCTGCCCAGGGCCGCAGTGGCCGTGGCTCACCCGCAGCTTCAGGGAGTCCTTGTCATAGGGGCTGGGGGTGAAGTCGGTGTGGACGCGGGCCCGGCCGCAGAAGGGGCCAGTGTAGGTGGGGACAGTGTCCTCCAGCAGCTGGCTGTCCCTGGGATCGCCAGGGCTGGGAATGTCACTGCCTGCAGAGAGGAGGGGGTCAGGATGTGCCCAGCTGTGGACGTGGGGCCGGTGTCCCTTCGGGGCTGGCCTCACCGCTGGACATCTGGCGTCCGAGGGCCGGGCGCCCGTCCTCCTCCTCCTCCAGCTCCAGGTACGACAGGGGCACCTTGTCATGGCTCTGCTCCTCCACGCTGCTGGCTGGGGACAGCGGGCATGGGGACCCCTCCGCCTCCACCTCTCCCTGCTGAGGGTACTGGGGTCAGGCCGAGGGAGGGGGACTGTCCCCCACTCACCTGTGCGTGTCCCCACGCCCCCTGCTCACCTTCCCCTCGGCCAGCGCCCTCACAGCCATCCTGCCCATCTTGCGGTTCATGGTGCGGGAGATGACCGCCCGCCACTTCCTGCCCAGCTTCGTCCCGCTGCTCCGCACGGCCTCCTCTGGCCTGGCACTGCTGGGATCATCCTCGGGGATCTGCCAGAGCCATGCAGAGTGAAGGAGAGCCCCCCACCCTGGGCAAGCCTCAGCAGGGTCACACAGGGTCCCACCCGTGTTGGCACCCTGGGGCTGCTCCGTGACATGTGGGCCACTGGTAAGACCAGGAGTTTTGGGAAACCAGCCCTGGAATGGGCTGTTCCCAGGGGAGCAGGAGGTGTCAAGGGGTGCTGCTGCTGCGGGGGTGCTGGGAACTCACATTCTCCTCCAGGTTGAACTCCTCACTTGACACGGGGGAGCTGACCTTGGACTTGTTGAAATCCTTGAAGCTGCTGGAACGCTGTAGGGAAAGCTGGGAGCAGGGGCAGAGGTGTGAGGGGGGAGATGGAAAGGTGGGAGATGGGCTTCTTCCTGCATTCCCTGCCCCAGCTCCTCTCTGCACTTTGGGCTGCTCTGCCCTTCCCAGGGTGATGCCAGTGCTGGGAGGAGTTTTTTGCTCTCTTCCAAGAGCTGCCATGTATCATCAACCCCCTGGAACTGGGATGTGGAGCTCTTGGTGCCTGTTAGCTGCTTGGCACAGCATTCCCAGGGCAGGGATGCTCTGGTGTGGAGCCTGGCACTGCCATGCTGGGAGCATCCCAGGGCTGTGCCACGATGCCACCCTGGCACACGGGCCAGGACGTGGGGGCACACAGGGCTCTGCCTCTCCTCTCAGCACAGGTGGGCAGGCAGTGAAGGGCCACGTCCCTGCTGCTACCCACAGTGTCAGCTCCAGGACTGAAATCCTGGAGGATTCATCACAAATCCACGTTTTCCACCTGTGAGTGTCACCCCATAGCCCAGAGAACACACCCCCAGCATCACCAGCTGGCTTGGTGCCACCTCCATGCCTAAGCCATCAAAGCTGGTTTTGGATCTCAGTCCTGGCACACCTCTCCACCCCTTGCCCATTTTGGTCTTTCCTGTGCCCCCTGCCTGCCTTCCTCTCCATGGCCTCAGGTGCCTGTCTCACATGGAAGGGTTTCTCCATGCCAGGAAAGTCCTTGGTGCCAGCACAGCCACCTGGTCCCAGGTGTCCCTCATCCCTGGATGCCAGCACCAGCGTGCTGGCACAGTGGGGCACCGTGAGCTCGGCTGCCACTGCCAGCACTCTTGAAGCCCTTAGAGCACGCACCACAGTGCTTGCTCTGCCACCACCATCACAGGGATTTCTGTTCTCAAGCAGCTCTGCCAGCTCCTGTGGCAGAGGCCTTTCCCAGCCCTGCACAGCCTGGCCCTGTGCTGTTCCCTCTTTACTCTCCTTCTCATTGGCTCCACCGGGCACCCCTGAGCCCTTGGTTTTGCCATTCCTTGCAGAGGGCTGGCTCACGGTGCCACACCCAGCTGCACAGCCCCTGTGGCTTCATGCCAGCTCCAGGTGCATCCGTGCAGAGGGGATGCTGGCTTTTGCCCTGCTCCCACCCCAGTGCCCTGAATCCACCAGATCCAGGCAGACTGAACCTCCCCGGGCTTCAGTGCTGAGATAAAACAGCTCTGAGGCAGAACTGCCCTGGGGCTGGAGGAGCCATGGAGAGCCTGGCAGTGGGATGTGAGTCAGGGGGGCCGGGCTGTCCCTGAGCAGAGCAGGAGGGGGAAGTGAGAGTGGCTGTGGCTGGGCAAGGGCAGGGGATGCCCACTGGGACTGGCCAGGCCACCCCAGTGCAGGGAGGAGGACTTCACCCAGGTTTCCTGTGCAAGCTTGGCAGCACAGAGGAGCTGCCATGGCAGGGTTTGTGCCTCTCACGGGCAGGACCTCGCCACCAGGCACTGCCCCTGCTCTCCGTGGTGACTTGCTGATGTTGATGCCAGCCCTGCAAAGCTTGGCAAGAGCTGAAGCGCCAGCTGGTGCGAGACCTGGCAGGGGATGAGGAGCCAGTTTTGGCCCTCACTGGTGACTTCAGCCTGCAGCCTTCAGCGGCGGGGTGGCACACGGCTGTGCCACAGGGCCGTGCCACGCAGGGGGCTCTCGGGAGGCCGTGGCACTGGCAGCTGGCACTCCTGCAGCTCACACCTCGCAGCGGTGCTGCCGGAGGAAGCTGGCACACGTGATGGAGCTGCAGGCTCGACCGCAGCACCTTGCTGCGCAAGAGAGCTGCACAGCCGCCACCGCAGCCATGTCCCCCGCCAGGAAATGACAGGCGGCCGCCCACGCCTGGGGAGGCCATGGGGGTGGGGGGCCACATCCTCCCCCAGCAGAGCTCCGCGGGTCCCACCGGCACCTGAGCTGGCACCGTGCTGATCCCGGGTGCCGAGCATCTCAGCCACACGTCCCACCAGCATGGAAGCCAGGGTGGGAGGTGGACAAAGCCAGGACCGCGCACTGGCGAGGCCACAGCGGCTGGTGGCAGGACAGACAAACTGATGGCAGGACAGCTGCCGTGCTGTCCCAGCCCCCGAGGCCCTGCCCCAGCCCTCCTGCTCAGCATCCCACGGCAGCCCAGGCTCGGACAGCTCTGGATGTGCCGGGACATCCGCGGTGCGAGGGCAGCGGGATGCCGCCAGCGCTCACCTTCCTGTGTCCCGGCTCCTTGTCGCCGGCGTTGGAAGGCTTGCGGCGCAGCATGGCGCTGGGGCCGGTGGAGAGCGCTCGGTGTGCGGCAGCGGCGAGCGCGGCCCGTCCCGTCCCGTCCCGCGGCACCGGCACCGGGAGCGCACAGGAAGCGGCGGTCACATGAGAGGCGCTTGCAGCCCTGCTCGGGGTGGCTGCCGAAGCGCGGCTGGGGCAGGAGGAAGGAAACCCTCCACGAGCTGCTGCCCTGCCCGGGGCCCCTGCGTGGGGACGGTGTCTGAGCCCTGACACTTCTGGGCCGTGCCGCCCCTCGGTGATGCTGCCCCTTGCCCATCTGCAAATGGGCATCGTGTCCCCCCCATGGAGAAGGTGACAGTCCCAAACCCCTCTGTCGTGCCCACCCCCGTGCCTGCTCATCCTGCTGGGACACGATAGCCAAGCTCTCTGCGTGACACTTGGTTTGGGATGTCCCCTGTGTCCGCAGGTCCTCACACGCAGGTGGGACGCGCTCATGGTCACCCCGCTGCTGGCACCCTGGGGACATCCCTGCTTGGGCTGGCTGCCCTGATTCTCACTCCAAATCCTCCATCTTTTGCCCCACAGTTGGACTCTGCCCAAATCCATCTCCCCACTGTCGGCGTTGGCTTGGTCGCCTCAGGGCTGGACAAGGTGGCACAAGGAGGGTGCCAGGGGTGGGGTTGGGGCCGGACTCCAGCCCCAACTCGGCAGCGAGGCAGCGCGCAGCACATCGGGCACAGCAGGGCGCAGCGGGGCCCGCCTTGCTCTTGTTTAATCACGGACGAACAAATAGAATACACCACAAAAAAAGGAAGTGAGGGCGGGGGAAGACCCGGCTGTGGTGGGGCCACGGGTGCGGGGTCAGGCCCCCAGCCCGCTGAGCAGCACCGGGAGCAGCGAGGCCAGGGCCAGCGTGCCCGCGGCGGCGGGGCAGGCACCGCTCACCGGGAAAGGCTCGGTGCTCTCCTGCAGCCAGGCGAACGCCTCCTCCAGCCGCTGCCGCCGCAGCTCCGGCCCCACGCGTGCCCGGATCCTCTCGTAGTACGAGTTCAGGTACCGGATCTGCAGCCAGGCACCACGGGGAGCTGCCAGGGGGTGGCCTGGCTGCTGCCCCTGCCTTTGGCCTTCCCCGTCCAGCTGCCCCACACCCTGACCACTGGTCCTACCTGCAGAGCTCACTGCCCCTCTTCATCCATGCGCCCATCCTCGCTGTGTCCTCATTTACCCACTCCAGCCTCATGCCATGGTCCTGTTTTTTTCCTGCATCCACCCCCCAAGCCCCTGTGCTGACCTCGCATTCCTGCTCTGCTCCCCACCCCGAGCACACCCCTGTACCTGCTCTGGGGACAGGAGGCTGAGGTCGATGAGGTTGCGGTCATAGGGCACCAGGGACACCACCTCGAAGGTCAGAAAAGGCTTCTCCCCGCTCTGGTGCTGCCACAGAGAGGTGTCATTGGGTGTCCCCTACTCTCTCGGAGTTGTCCCCATCCCTGACTTGATGCAGGCCCCCACGGTGTGCCACCTCTGTCACCCCGTCCCCATTCCCCTACCTCAGTCTGTGCCTCCACCACGAGGGCGACGTCCTCAATGCGGATCCCGAACTCGCCATCCTGGTAATACCCGGGCTCTGAGGGCCGGGAACACGCCTGGTGAGCCCCCAGCCCCAGCAGCTCCCCCAGCCCACCCCAGCGGGGCTGGATCTGGCCCCTGAGCAGGGCTGAGAGCTGACACCCCGTCCCTGGTTGGGCTCTGTGCCCAGGGCTGTCCCAGAGAGCCGGGGTGCCAGTCGGGGTGCCAGGACATACCAATGGAGGTGAACATGCCAGCCTCCAGTGGCACGTTGTTGGACTGGAAACCCACGGGCCCTGCAGGGACACAAGGCGGGTTAGAGCTCTGTGGATGGCACGTGCTGCAGGGACACCCCAGCAAGGACCACAGAGCCCCCCAGGCAAGGACTATGGGGCCACCATGGCAAGGACCACTACAAGGACAAGGATCATCCCAGTAAGGAGCTTGGGACCACCTCAGCAAGGATCATGGGGCCACCCTGGCAAAGAGGGTGTTGAAAGCAGGGGTGTTGAAAGCAGGGATTTCCCGGCTCCTTACAGAGGCTCTGCTGGGAAGCCCCCAGTGAGCTCCTGTCCTTGTCCCTGTCCCCGTAGCTCAGCCCATATGCCCAGCACCAGTTTTGGTGGCACCTACACTCGTGGACTGAGAGGAAGTTGCCAATGCCGTGGCCGGTCCCATGGCCATAGTTGAGTCCAACATCCCAGAGTGCCCGGCGGGCGAAGGACTCCACCGTTCTCCCTGGGGAATGAAGAGGTGGGATGGGGCCCAAGGAACCTATGGGGCTCCCCTGTGCCCTCCTGCTCGCTGTGCCAGGGGTTCTGTGCAGGGCCAACGCTGGGTCTGGCACCCACCTGCTGTGTTGGACGGGAAGATGAGGCGGGAGAGGTCAATGTTGCCCATCAGCACACGGGTGTAGGCTTCCTGTAGGGAATGGCAGGGGGTGAGTGGCACCCAGACACCCACCCCTGCACATCCAGCCCTGGCCAGGCCCGTGATGCTGAGTGCCACAGGGAGTGCTGGGCAGTGCAGGGGGGTCTGGGCATCTCAGGGGTGCCCTGGGCAGTGCAGGGCAATGCTGGCTGCCATGGGAGGGGCTGGTACCTTCTGGAGCGGGGTGGGCTCACCCCAGTGCACTGTGCGAGTGATGTCTGTTGTCCCATCCCTGCAAAGGGTGGTCATAAAGGGCTGATGCAGCCGCAGCGCTGGCTTTGGGGGGCCCTGGATGTGGGGCTGTGGTGGGGGGGGTCTTGTTCAAAGCTACGCACAGATATTGCCCTCCGGTGTCAAAGAGGTACATCTCTCTTGCAGACAGCGTCCGGCTGCTCCCGTTGGAGGGGCTGCGAGGGGTGGGGGATCAGATCCCTCTCCCAGCTGCCCACTGCCCACCACCCCCTGCCCACTGCCCACCGCTGCCCCAGCCATACCTGTAGTGAGCCAGCGCTGCGTTGAGCCCGCTGGCCGAGATGGACTGGAAGCTGGGCCCACGGCTGTGCTCCTGGGCCCTGGAAGGCAGCAGGGAGGAAGGGAGGTGCTGGGGACCCCCGGCTGCCCTTCACCGGGCAGCACAGGCCCCGGGGGCAGCACTGACCAGCGAAATGCATCAATCTGCTGAGCCCCCAAAAACTCGTCCACGTGCCCCTGCGGGACTGCCTTCTCCAGCCACAGCAGGTACTGGATGACGGCCACCGCGTCCCGGACCTGGGGTGACAGCGGGGAGGGGACATCAGCACCCTGCTTCCTCCGGTCTGCCCCCCGTTCTGCAGGGGACTTTGGGGAGGGGGACAGCCCTTACGTGCGCAGCTCGCAGCATCTCCTGCTCGTGGGCGTTTTTCACAGCCTTGGCCATCATGACTGGTGAGTAGCTCTCCTCCAGCAGCTTCTCCTGTGAGGGCAGACAGAACGTGGCACAGCTACCTGTCCCCTCAGGCGCCAGGTGACATGAGGCGATCCCTGAGCCTGCAGGACGCACACCCGTGGCCAGGTTCGGTGCCCACCTTGGGGACGATGCTGTAGAGGCCGTAGGTGGTGTACTCGGTGCCCAGCCACACGGTGACGCTGCCCTGGGTGTAGTGGCGCAGGTGGGCGCTCACCTGCCCGTAGTCCCGCAGCTCCACGCACAGCGGCCCCGGGCAGCCCGAGCGCAGCGACTCCCGCGCCGCCGCCGAGAGCCGCGACTCCTCCACGAACAGGCTGCGAGGGAGCGGGATGGGGCGGGCACGGTCGGGGTGCTCAGCTCCTGCCTTTGGTCCCCCCGAGTCCGGCCACGCCGGCAGAGGAGGGACCTGGGCGGCTGTGAGGGGATGCTGGGCTGGGAATGGGAGGAACTGGGGCTGTGAGGAAAGGGAGTGTGCCACGCGTGCCCTCGGAGGGAGGGAGGGGATGGATGTGTGGCTCAGAAGGACGGTCAGTGGGGCTGGGCATGGCAGGATGGGTGGCTCTGGGGATAATGGGCAATGGGGCTGAGAGGAGGGTCCCATGGCGGCTGGCTCCCAAAGGAAGGGTGGAAGGGGGGTGGGTGGTGAGCCCCCTCCAGGCCCCGTGCCCTGTACAGGGATATACTGCCCACCTTATGGTTGTGTTGGTCAGGAGGGTGTAGGAGTAGAAGACAGGGTTGTAGGGGATGTCATCTCCGCGGAGGTTGAAGAGCCCTGCCAGGAACGAGACCTCTGCACCCGCAACCGCCACTGCCCTGCCACCCCCAGGGGTCGAGCCCACGGCCCCTGCCATGGCCCCACCGTGGGTACCCACAGGCCGTCTCCTCCAGCCCCGACAGCAGCACGGCTGTGGGGTGCCGTGTGTGCTGCTCCATCTGCTGCCGGATCCCAGCCACCTTCTCCTGCCAGCTCCTCCCTGCCAGTCGGGCGAGTGGTGGGCTCAGTGCAGGACCACCGCGGCCCCAGGCTGGGGGTGCTGCGGGTGAGCTGCGGGAGGCTGGGGTCAGACCTGTGAACTCTGCTGGGAGGCTGTAGATCTCGCTGGAGGAGGGAAGGGGTCTCTGGTCACCCCATGCCTGATCCACAAGGTTGGTCTCGAGGGGGAGCAGGGTCCGGCCGGAGCCGTGCAGAGCCCGGCTGTAGCTGTTCCAGGTGTCTGGGGGGTGAGCAGCCCGCAGGTTTGGGCTCCTGGTAAATCTGCACCCAGGGGCTGCCCTCCCGTGGGCAGGGTGACCCACGGTGTCAGCCAGCCCTACCGATGGAGAAGAGGAAGGGGTCCAAACCGACTTTCCCCTCCGCAGGAACCGCCTTCAGGATCCACATCCCGATGGACTCGATCGAGACTGCAGGAGAGAGCTGGGTGGCACCGCGCATTTGCAGCGTGTCCCGACCCACGCTGAGCCCAGAGGTGGCTGTGGCAGGGCCTGGGGGGTCCCTGGGGACTCAGCAGGCCCCATCCTGCCCCCACTGACTTGTCCTCTGCAGCTCCCAGTTGCAGTCCAGCTCCCGCTCTGCCTGGGTCCAGTAGCGGCTGTCAGTCCACAGGGCAGCCTTGTCCTGCGTCACCACCGCGGTGCCTGGCACAGCGTTGGGGGCTCAGGGCTCACCTCTTTCTCTCTCCCTGCAGCTGCCAGGGACCCCCAGCAGCTCTCAGGGAGTGGGACCATGCCGTGCACATGGATCCCAGGAATGAGGACCAGTACCCGAGGGTTGGGGGGATGCCCTCACCTGCAGAGCCGGTGAACCCGGTGAGCCAGCCCAGCCGGGCATCCTGCTGGGAGATGTACTCGCTCTGGAGCCGGGATGGAGCCGTGAGAGGTGGCTGTGGGCAGGGAGCGGGTCCCCGGGGGTGCGGGGGACTCCCACCTTACCATGTGGGCATCCGTGGAGGGCACGATGTAGGCGTGGACGCCGTGGGTCCGCATGATGCCCCGCAGCGCGGCCAGACGCGCCGTCGTGTTGGTGGCCGTCCGTGGCAGGTACTGGTGGCACAGGGAGACGTGCTGGGACTGGGGGGGACCCCGTGCCGGGGGTCTCAGGAACAGGGAGGGGGAGCAAGGCGGGGCTCACCGCTGGGTCCGCGGAGCAATCCCGGATGTCATTCCTGCTGGAAGGAGCCTGTGGTGCCCGCCCTGCAGCGCAGCCTGTGGGCACGGCGACACCCGGGAGCCTCAGGCTGCAGCCTGGGGGACTGCTGGACCTTTGCTCCAGCCCGGAACTGCACCAGGCAGCTGTGACCCTCGTCCCCAGCCCCAAACACCAGCCAGCCAAGCTTGGGGCTTTTTGCAAAACCCGGTGGTTTTAGCCCCAGAAATAGTGGATGAAAAGCAATGTCATCCCCTGGTTCAAGAGGAGATAAATCTCCCGGTGCCCGTGGTACAGTGGGATCATCACGGGGAGCAGCTGTGCCCAGCATGGAGCACGGAGGGGCTGGCAGGAGCCTGTCTGGAGCATCCCGGCCCTGGGGCTGTGGAAGGAACTGGCTGAGGTGGGGCCATGTCCTGGACCTGACCTCTCCCCAGGGCTGCTTGGCATGGGGCCCCACCACCACTCCCTGGGCTCTCCATCACCAGCTGGCACCTGGCTTCTCACTTTGGGCCAGGGGCACACAGCTTGGGTCCGTGGGACAATGTGTGATGGGGTCATCCTCAGCATGAGGGGCCTTGGGTACCAGTGTCTGCACGCCGGGTCTGCTTCTTGCCTGCCCCAGGCCCATCCCTGAGGCAGCCGGGCAGGGTGAGCCCCGAGACACAGTCTGGCTCCTACCCTGGGGTGGACCCACGTTCTCCACATCTGGTTCCTGGGGTCCCCAGATGTGCCATCCCACCCAGTGCCCTGCCCACCGTCTGCCGTACCGTGGAGCAGGAGCGTCCAGGCTGTGATCCAGAGCGGGGGGGACATGGCTGCCCCGGCCAGGCACCAAGGGGACACTGTGCGTGACAGGTCCCTCCTCCTGTGCCTTTGCCCCAGGGGCAGAGGGATGCGGAGTGGGAGGGACGAGGCCTCAGCAGCTACAGGGCATGGGGAGCAGGGTTTGTCCCTTTGAAAAGTGAATTCTGCTGCTAAATAAAAGCAAACAGCGGAATCAGCACAAAGTCCAAAGATCCTGCAGGAGCAGAAGTGGGAACGTGCCAACTAAGGCTGGCACCACCTGATGGCCAGGGAGAGCTCAGGGAAAGGCTTTGCTCCCTGAGGAGCCCCTGTGTTTTGGATCTGTGGAGAGCTGACGTGGGATCCCTGGGGTGACGACCAGATGTCCCCCAAGCCAATCAGGCCCCAAAGTCATCCCTCCTTCTCTACAGGACATGGAGCCATGCAGGGGGGCACCAGCCCCTGTTCAGTGCCCGGGACCACCAGCCTCTGCTGGGGCTGCACAGGGACCTGTGCTCCATGGGAGGATCCTGCTGGGATGTGCCCTTTGTCCCTCCAGGCCCATCAGCAGCCTGCCTTGATAAAACCTCATTATCTTCACCATAAGATGCCACCTCTGTACATCTGCCTTGATAAAACCTCATTATCTTCATCATAAGGAGCCTTGACCCCGAGGTCTGTCACTTTGATTGCACAGCTACTTCCTCCAGCGGCTTCAGTGACTGGTTGTGGAGAGAAAGGCTGGGAGAGGGGCAGACGGGGCAGACCTGCTGCCACAGGCACTGGAGGTGTCCACCCCTGGCATGGACACGGATCTCCAGGGATGAGTGCACGTCCCCACCCAGGACAGGTCATGGAGTCACAGATTGGTTTGGCCTGGAAAGGACATTAGAGATCCTCTAGTTTTGACTCCCTGCCATGGGCAGTGACACTTTCCATTATTCCAGGTGTCTCCAAGCCCCTTCCATCCTGGCCTTGGACACTTCCAGGGATGGGGCAGCCATAGCTGCTCTGGCCAACTTGTGCCAGGGCCTCCCCACCCTCATAGGGAAGATTTTCCTCCCTCTATCTAATCCACACCGACTCTAATTTAAAACCACCCTGCCTTGATCTGTTGCAATGGGCCCTACCAAAATATTTGTTCCCACAGATTCACATCCCCACCCTCCCAGGCTTCCCAGAGCACTCCCTACAGGATCATAGCTCATCACAGCCCACGAGGATCTTTGGGATGTGCCTCCCTCTTCCTGGGCCTGTGGTCCCTGCAGCCCAGCTCTCACAGGCTCGGCTCAAAGCCAAAGTTGGATTTGTGTGGGGAGCAGGAACCCTCTGAGCTGCTGCCTCTTCCCAGTTGGGCACACAGGTGTTTACCCACCTACCCTGGCAGCGACTGTCCGGCTGTGTCACCACTCTGATGTCCAGCTGTGTCACTGAACTGGCTGGCTGTGTCGCTGTTCCCTCAGGCACTGTCCGGCTGTGTCCCCACGCTGTCCGCTGTGTCCGGCAGTGTCACCACCGCACCTGCGGTGACACCGCACCGTGTCCAGCTGTGGCACCGGGGCCCTGCTCACCACGAGGTGGCACCAGGACCGCGCCGTGGAGCCGCAGACCCTTGTCCCGTGTCCCGCTCTGCTGTCCCGTGTCGCACTGTCCCGTGTCCTGTCCCTAACCAACCTGCAGCTGCGGCAGAGCCGGGGGGACCCCTGGCCACCCGCTCCCTCCGGCTGAGCCCTGGGACGCTCATGTCACCAATGCTCTCGGGCTGCCCGTGCCTGGCATCACCCGCCGGTCCCCGCCCTGTGAGAGGAGCCCAGGAAGGGGCAGGACAGGGACAGGTGGCAGAGGGACTCCAGAATTGCTGTTTCCCAAGCTGCGATGCGGTGCCGTGGGGACAGTCAGGCAGCGCTTTGCTGCCATCCCGCTCCTTAGTGACACGCGTTAATGGCGCTTCATCCTCCTGCCGGGTTCCTGCGGGTCGGGGGCTGCACTCCACCCCGGGAGGGTCCACAGGGCGAGGGGCATCCTCACCCCCTTAATTCCTTCCCTCTGAGCTCCACCCCGCAGTGCCCTCTCAGGCAGTGCCATCCGCGGTGCCACCACCCTCGGGTCAGCCTCCTCCTGCCCAGCTCGGGGGTGGCACCGGCCGTCCCCGGGGACCGCGGGGCCGCGTGTCGCTCCGGGCCAGCGTCAACCGGACGAAGCTCCTCGGCCGCCGCGCGTCCGGTGGGGCCCGTCCCTCCCGCGGGAGGTTTCCTCGAAGACGAGCCGGAGGAAGGCTTTGGGGGGACATCCTCCCTTTGTGGGCTATTGTTGGCCTTCCGTCACCTGCAGGGGCCGCGGGGTGACTCAGGCCGGGGGGACGCGCCCGGCAAACAGGACGCGGGGAGGATGTGCGGGCGCAGGAATGCGGATGCCGGTGGTGGCACCGGGATGCTGCCAGGATCCCTGAGGGTGCCCTGGCAGCCGGGGTGTGCCCGATGATGCCTGCCCAGGGATGGGCTGGGGCATCCTCCCTGCGCCAGAGAGCTCGGCAGCCAGGCTGCGGGGATGCCTCATCCAGCTCCTGCTCACCCTGAAGAAGCACCCCCAGTTTGGGGGTGCACAGCACTGGTGGGCAGCGCTGACCCCACATTGTGCCAGAAGCGGGGGATGCAGGAGAGCCTGGCTGGGGTGAGAGGCTGCAGCCAACAGGGCTGGAAGAGGTTCAGAGGATGTTCCCCTCCTGTGGTACCACAGATGTGCAGATGTGTGGGGCTGTGCACATGGTACAACCCCTCCTCAGATCCCCCACTCCTCCTGTAGCTCTTCCTAGAGCCCCCCAACATACACACCAGGTACAGCCCCTCCTCAGATCCCCCTACACCTCCTGTTTGTCTTCCTAGAGTCCCCCAACACACACACCAAGTACAGCCCCTTCTCAGATCCCCACTCCTCCTGTAGCCCCTCCTAGAGCCCCCCAACACACACACCAGGTACAGACCCTCCTCAGATCCCCCACTCCTCCTATAGCCCCTCCTAGAGCCCCCCCGACACCCAATACAGTCACCAGCCCCTCCTAGAGTGCCTCCCTATACCCATGCCCCCATACAACTCCTCCTGCAGTCCCCCCATATGCCCCTCTTTGCCCCCACACCCTGTCAGGGCCACCCCCTCACCCCACTGGCCGGGGCTCTCTCAGGGTGCAGTTGTAGCTGTCATCCACCTTTCTGAGGGTTGATGACACCCACCTTTGTGGAGGCTCACCCTGGCCAGGTGCCCCCAAAGCTACTGCAGCACTGCTCCTCAGCTGAGCAGGGAGGGAAAATACAAGGAAAAGATCGAGATAAGGATCAGTACATCACCAGGTGCAGGCATGCGTCAAACAGACTCAGTTTGGGGAAATTAATGGAATTTCCTAAAATCATGGATGAATGGAATGGTTTGAGTTGGAAGGGACCTTAAAGCCCATCTTATTCCAAGCTCCTGCCATGGGCAGTGACACCTTCCACTATCCCAAAGTTGCTCAAAGTCTTGTCCAACCTGGCCTTGGGCACTTGCGGGGATCCAGGGGCAGCCACAGCTGCTCTGGACAACCTGTGCTGGGGCCTCATCCCCTCATAGCCATGAATTTCTTCCTAATATCTGATCTAAATCTCCCCTTTTATGTATTTATCACCAATCAAATCAGAGCAGAGTAATGAGAAAAACCCCCAAACCTTAACCACTTTTCCCACCTCTCCCTTCCTCCTGGGCCCAAAGTCATTCTCGATTTCTCTCCCTTCTCCCCTCTGCAGTGGGGACTGTGGGCAGTTCACCACACACTGCCTGGCTGGGGGCTGGAGGGGACAGTGGGCAGGCAGGACAGGTCCCTTCCCCTTGGGTGCTGGAGAAGAGAGGCACTGGGAGGGGTTGCGTGAGCCAGGAGAAGTGGAGGGTCCCAGAATCTGAGGATCAGGCTGGGAGGGGGGTCCCAGGACTAGGGTGGAAGGGGATAGACAGGCTGGATCCAGGCTGTGCAGGGGTCCCATGCCAAGCTGGCCGCTGTGTTAGGGTCTGGGGGCCATTCTGGGTGTGGGGGTCCCAGCACCATTTAGGGTAGGGAGTCCTGGACCAGGCTGGGCACAGAGGCCGGGGCTAGGCTGGGAGCCGGTCCCAGATTCGGGCTGGATGGGGGTCCCCGCACAAGCTGGGGTGGTCTCAGAGCACTGGGGACGCGATGAGGGGACTTTAGGCGGGGAATCCCCCGGAGGATGCGGGAGGGGATCAGGCAGCAGAGCGGGATGGAGGGAAACCCGCGGAGGTGTCCCGGCGGCGGGGCGGGGCAGGGCGGGGGGCGGACGCGTCCCCCCCATGCCGGGGGCCAGATGACGGGAGGCGGCGGGGCCGGGCCGGCTCTCACCGCCTACAAATGCGGCTCCCCCGGCGGCCGCCCCCGCCGCCCCCCGCCGCCCCCCGCCATGGCCGCCCCGCGCCGGCTCCTGGCCCCGCTGCTGCTGCTGCTGCTGCTGCTCGGGCTCGTCCTGGCCGCCCCCGGTGAGAGCGGAACAGCCGCGGGGACCCCACGCCGGCGGCGGGGGATGGAGGGAGGGAGGGAGCGAGGGAAGAGGGGACCGCGGGGACCGCGCCGGGGTGGCCGCGGCTTGGGGGGCACCGGGAGCCGCCGCCGCCGGGCTGGGGAAAGACAAAGCGCTTTCTTTGGAGCCAAAACCCTCCCGGTCCCCGTGCAGAGCGGCAGCGTCCGGAGCCGCGGTGACAGCCCCGGGCATGACCGCGTCCCGCAACTGGAGCCACGCGGGGCACGGCCCCGGCCCCGGCTGCTGACCGACCCCGCGGGGTTCGGGGAGATGGGAGCAAAGCATCCCCGCCAGGCACCCGGGGGAGCAGGAGCAGTGCCAGGGAGCAGAGCATCCCGCCAGGGGCTCCAGGGCCCCGGGGCAACGGGACCACTGCTGGGAGCACCGGCGCCAGGCACGGCGGGGATGCGGGAACCGGCCCGGGGTGAAGGGCTGGGGGTCCCGGCGGCACATGGAGGGGGTGGCTGTGGTAGGGGAGGGGGGCTGGGCCGAAAGCAGAGGCTGAGCAGCCCCATGCCCCGGCTGCGGCTGTGGCCACACGGATGGCCATGCCGGGCACAGGTGGCCGGGCCCGCCGGCACAGAGAGCGCTCGGCAGCGATGGCTCTTGTTGGGGACAGTGCCCGGGGCCAGGCAGCCCCACGGTACCGCCGTCCCTGTCCTGCGTGGGGGGACACGTGGCTGACGCTGCTGCTGATCTCCGCAGGGCCGCTGGGGAAGGCGCCGGACGGGAAGGATGCCCAGAATGGGCTCACCCGGAGGCTGGTGCGGCCGCGGGGCGCACGCCGTGGGACCGGCCAGCGGCCCGGGGGCTGGCGGAGGTCCCGGCGGCCCCGGCCCCGGCTGTCCCACAAGGGCCCCATGCCGTTCTGAGCCAGGTGAGATGCGGCGGGGCACGGGGGATGCGGGGAGACGTGTGACGGTGCCATGAGGGAACTCGTATGTACTTGGGCTTGCTCTCTTTGCAGGGCTGCCACCAGCCTTCCACGGACACGGCTTCCATTGCCCGCGCCGCGTTCTCGCCCGATCTGCTCATCCTCCGGCCCTCCTGAGCCCTCGGCTGGCCCCACCTGCTCCCGGCGGCTGCTCCTGGAGGCCCCGGTGCCGGGTCTGGCACTGCCGGTGCATTCTGCCCCTCCTCACCGCCCCGCAGGGCCGGCTGGATGGGGGCTGCCTGCAGAGGGGCCACGGTAGCTACGATGCCCTGTCCCGGTGGGCACAGGACTGGCTCAGGCATCGGCCCGCCGGGACCACGGGCTTTGTGCACAGCACTTTGTCAGGCAGAGCAGCTTCTCCTCAGGGGTCTGTGTGCTCCCCCGGGGTCCTGCCCCAGCCCTGTCACCCCCACGCCAGGGGGGAGCACGCAGCTTTCCCTGGGTCTATTTATTCCCATGGTGCTCATCCCACACCCTGGGTGAGTTGCCCTCCCTTTCCCGCTGGCAGACCCACCTTGTGGTGGAGTGGGGTGCCCACCCAGGACACACTGCTTCATGCCACAGGACAGTAGGAATGGGGGACACTGGGGTCTCTGTCAAGCTCTGCCATACACCAAAGGAGGGGCCCTGGCTCAGAGCTGGGCCCTGCTGACTGTCTCCTGTGTCTGTAAAGATTTATTCCATGTAAATACAACTTTATAATAAAGAGTTATGATTATTAACTCAGTAAATGCTGATTTCTGGAAGGGCAGGCAGGGGTTGCTCTCCTGCTGGTGGGGAGGGATCTCAGGTGCCTCCACTGCCTCCTGGGGCTGTCTATAGGCACTGGGGTTCATGGCTGGGGCAAGGAGGGTGGGAAAACACAAGTCAGAGGGGCTTGGGAGATGGAAGAGGGGATGCTGGAAGGGCACAGGGATGCTGGTCCTCCTGGGCATCCCTGTCCCTTGTGTTCAGACACTGCTATCCCTGGCATCCCTGTTTCTGGTGTCCCTGTCCCTGGTATCCCTGGCATCCCTCCCCTATGTGTCTCCACCCCATGGGGCTGGGTGTGAGCAGGATCCATATGGGGGGCAGGGGGGTCAAGGCTCAGGGGACTGAGGGTCCCAGTGGGACCTTGCAGGTGGGGAGGAGGAGCTGAGCCCTGCAAAGGGATGGGACCCAGGGGACAGGACACCTCCAGCCGTGGCTGGGAAGTTGGGAGAGGGGGTGCCCTGCGAGGCCTCCCAGTTTGCAGGGGGCTGCCCACGTCCCGGGCGCGGGGCTGCGGGCAGGGGTCGGCAGTGCCGGCGGGGAGGGGGTTAAGGGGCTCTGGAGGAGCGGAAGGGTTGCAGCTGCGGGCTGGGAGCGGGGCTGGGGAAGCGCCGGGACCCAGCTGGCCTCCATTAGCTCATCCGCCGGGACCGGGAGGGATGCGCTGCCCGGCCCCGCGCCAGCGCTCCGGCCGCGCCCGCCGCACGATCCGCCACCCGCGGGGCCCTGCGTCCCCACTGCCACCGCCACCGCCACCCCACGAGTCACTGCCAGTGCCCCCACGACGGTCTGGGTGGGTGGGCGGGGGTTGCCCGCTCACTGCTCAGTTGTATCCTGGCTCCCATGCCGTTTTCCAGAGCCAGCAACCTCCCAGAGCTGGAGTGGGGCAGGACATGGTGCCCCAGCCACAGCCCCCTCCAGCTGCCTCCACCTCTGGGATGCTGGGGGTGGGTGGTTATCGTTCCTCCATTGCCAGCTTACAGTGCTGCTGCTACTGGCTTGAACTGGGAGGGCTCTCCCCCGGCACTTCAAACCAGCCCTCAATGCCCGTGGTCTGCCTCCCCAGCTGCAGCAGCAGGCACCTTGCCCAAGGGATTCGGTGAGGTCCCTGCTCTGCAGGACTGGCACTGGGGGGCCCAGCAGACCCCTGGAGCAACTGCCATGGCTGTGGCAGCAAGGCAGTGATGTCCCACGTCCCCCAGGCATCGCCCCAAGCGCTTGGGCTGCAGCCAGGGGCTGCACAGCTGAGCCCTGACCCCAGCCCTCCTGCACCAGCCTGAAAGGAGGAGGCCAGGGAGGACCTCCTGGCTGGGTTGTGGCCAGCCTGGAAGGAGGAAAAGGCTTCTGGGCCAGGAGACCTAAGGAATCTCAGGCTCTTCCTGGCCTGGCTGGATGCCCAAGGCAGGTGGGAGCTGCTGAGCTCGGTCATGCTCCCCGTGCCTCCTGTGCCACGGCAGTGCCAGAGCTCCTGTACTGCCACAGGAGTTGGGCCAGAGTGGGCAGTGGGCACAGGACAGTGCTGGGGCCATGGGCAGAGGGGCATGGGGCAGGTCCTGTGCAAGCAGGGTCTGTCCTGGCAGGGCAAGGATGGGGTCTGCCAGGTCCCAGCAGCTCACTGAGCAGGGAGACAGGGGTGCTTGGGGGCATGGGGAGAGGGCTGAGCAGTTGTAGGAGCCCTGAGGTCCCTGGGGATATCTGGTTGTCCATAGGGACCAGGGGACAGCTCACTGCCCACCTAGGGCTGGCAAGGGATGTTCAGTGTGGCTGTGGGACACCGCCAGCTCCTCCAGCACCACCACCTCGATACCACCAGCATCCCTCAGTGCCCATGTCCATAGTGGGCTGATACATGAGCAAGACCCTCGGAGCTGCACCCCAACGGCATCCAAGGTCCCTCATAAGGATCCCTGTGCCCTGCCGAGGAGGAGGACGGGCAGGCCCAGCTTTGTCCCATCTCCAGGGAGCATCAGAGCTTCCCTGTCGCTGCGGCATTTCCGGCGGCAGTGGCAGGAATGCGGTGGCCGCGGGAACAATGCCGGCACCTAGCGCTGCTCCGCTCCGTGACAGCACAGGAGCAGCTGCCCAGGCACAGCCCTGCTCCAAGGAGCCGGCAGGAAGCAGATGGAGATGACACCGGCCGCCATTTCCTGCGGCAGGACGTGAGGGCTTTCTCCAGCACCGCTCCCCTTGCTGGCCCAGCAGGGCCTCGGGCACCACAGCTCAGGGCTGCCAAAGCCGTGTGCCACACACCTTGCTGCCCCCGGCCGGACTCAGCGCCATCCCCACCACTGTGCCAGCACATCAAGGGTGCACCCAGGAGCTCATCAGCAGGAACCAGCGGCATGGGACCCTCTGCCGCTGTCCCCAGCCCTCAGCCGCCCCCAGAGCGAGCTGGAGCCCCAGGCAGGGCTCTGTGACAGTGCAGAACGCCATGAGGGACAGCAGGCGTGCCCTGCACAGCCCCCAGGCCTTGCACAATGGAGGTTTATTTGGAACGAACGGTTTCCCAATAAATTATGTAATTTAAAAATTTTAAGGATAAGAAAAAGGCAGAAGGGAGGGGAGCCTGCAGCAGCTCAGCCAGTGCATGGGGACTGCAGGGCCACACGACACCCTGGGCTAAGCCCAGGCACTGACAGGGGCTCTGTGACCACAACCCCCTCCCCTTCCTTGGTTTTGGCCTCCCTCACCTGAGGCCATGCGGCCCCACAGGCCTCTTAGTGTTTCAGTGGGACAGGCCACTCTTGCACCCTCAGTCACCAGCCCCAGGGCTGTCCCCTCAGCCAGATGAGTGTGACCTTTGCAATGCAGCCCCTCCAAGCTGCTCCTCTGGCCCCCAAGGAGCATTTGTGGCTCCTTTCACTCCCCCAAAACCTGCACCCTCTGCTAGCACCACAGGAGGGGAGAATGGACTCCATCTAGTGGCACCGGGTGACCCAGCCTGTCCTACTCCCACACTGTCGGCTGGGCTAGAGGGACAGCGGTCCCATCCTGCTCACGGTCCCATCCTGACACACAGGACAGCCCAGGAAGAGCAGAGGGCACCTCATGGCTCTGCCTGACCCTGGTCACTGCGAGCCACCCACCATCCTGTGTCCTCGGGGGAAGCTGGGGCAAAGGGAGAGAGGAAGGTGAGGGCAGAGTGGGGGTGCAGGGACAGAGTTGTGTGCCGTGGCCCTGAGTCCTGCGAGGGAGGGAGAGGGGAAAGGCCATGCCGAAGGGGAGAGGCCGAATGTCCAAACAACCTTCCTGGTCAGCACGGTCCATAGCACAGTGATGGCATCAGGGCTGGCACGGCTGTGTGGCAGAGGGTGGCACATATCCCACAGCAGTCTGGGGTGGTGTACACACCAGCACACGTACCTGGCACTGGAGGGAGCAGTGTGCCATGGCCTACAAGAGCACCAGCTATCCCCACCCTTCTCTACAGCAGCTCTTGGGAGATGGGGGTGACACAGAGAGAAGCGTGACCTGGGGAACTGGTGGTACTGCCACGGGACGATGGGTGCTGGCACAGTGCTCGGGTATCGACAGATCCACCGGAGGTGGATGGCAGTGCAATGAGCGTGCGGGTCCTCTGCAGCGTGGGGTATGGCGCGGCAAGGAGGGGGAACGTCCCTTCCGACTGTAAACACGGCACTTGGAGAGCTTCGAGCCTTTACCCTCGGAGCTGGCAGAGGCCCGGCTGGGGCGCGGGCCCGGCTTTGGCACACGGCACGAGTCACTCTTCGTCCCCGGTGAGCAGGAAGCTGTAGAGGAAGTTGATGGCGCGCTGGCGGTCCTGCTGGGTCTGCCTGGCCATCAGGTTGGGCGGAGGGCGCAGGAGGAGGCTGGAGAACAGGGCGGCTGTGGAGGCAGGTAAAATCAGTCACTGGTGAGGAACGAAGACCTCGGGAGGTGCAGGAAGAGGCTGGGATGCATCGAGGGCTGCAGAGGAACAACACTCACCGATCATGGTGGCACTGACGTTGTTGTCCTCCGAGTACCTGAGCAGCTCCCGCAGGAAGGACATTAGGTACCGAAACACGTTGCGGTGGCAGCTCGGCAGCTGAACGATCACCTGCAAGGAAATGGTGTCAGGAAGCTCTCCCAGCTCCCACTGCTGCAGCCTGGGCATGTGGGCACTCCACAGCAACTTACCCACAGCCGCAGCCTGCTACTGATGGCACCTGTGGGCTGTGGCTCCTGGTGACACTGCTTCAAGGAAAGCTGTGTCACCAGGAAAAAGTCCCCAGTGCCCTGTGGCTGCTTCCTGCTTAGTTTCCAGTCGGATCCCAGCTCTCACTGCCCTGAAACCTCCCCCTCTGCTCAGGGACATGCTTGACCTGGCCTGCTGCCCCGCCAGCTGTCAAGAGCCACGCACAGCCCTCCACGAAGGACAGGAATTGTAGCTCTGAGCAGGTGCTCAAGCCCTCAGGACCAGGGGTGGCTCACCCCTCCCTGTTCCCCGTGTGCTCAGGGTGAGACAGGGCTCACTTGGGGTCTCTCTGGAAGAGCTGCCCGTTCCCCCAGAGCCACTGCCAGCCCCCAGGCAGGGAGCAGGCCCAGAGGCACGGCACAGCCCACAGCAGCAGGAGCTGCCCTGAGCCAGCAGCAGCCCCACACGTCAGCACAGCCCCGCACCTGTCGGCACAGCCGGCTGCTGTGGGACCCCTCCAGGCACCGCTGGTACAGCTCATAGCAGATCACAGGCTCTGGCAGAGCCTCCAGGAAGATGAGGAGAGCTTCAGCCACAGAGTGATTGCTGCCCGCTGGAGCACTGGGAATCAAGGGTCATGCTGAGCAGAGAGATCCCCTCCCTCCCCAGATGCTCATCTCGCAGGAGGTCACACAAGTTCCCTGCCTGTCTAACCTCTCCTCCTCCTCCTTCTCCTCCACTGTCCCCCACCCCTGAAAAACCCTACACTGCATTTCCCACCCTCTGGCTGCACAGGAGCTCCCTGCTCCATCAGCCCCTTCTCCAGACCATGCT